ATGACGACTAAATTAAATGAAGATAATCACGTGTTGCCTTAGACCTCGTGGTCGCTCCCAAGCTGTTAGAAAAGTTGAGCTTCTATCAACGCGTTACCTTCTGACCAATACATCAATCAGCAAAGGCCGAACAGTATAGTTCTAATACTGTAATAGATCTGTCACTTGCCGTGGTGCTTAGAAGCCACATTGTTAACGGTTAGAAGCAACGGTTAGAAACGGTAACGGTAAGAACGGTTATACAACGATACAGTTGCTTGGCATGCATTGTGCCGTACTGACAAAATAAGGGCGAGATTGAGAAAGTATTTAGCTGAAAATCTAAACGAAAACATCTAAAGAACAAAGTCGTCAAGTATGATATCCACACTACATAAAGCGCTTACCCTAGATCCTTTCAATAGCTTTAATTAAACTTAGGCGCTGTAGGATATGCCCAATAAAACGGCCTGGTTGGCAACGTATACAGCAGAAAATAAACATCGCTAGACCGTACGTTCAATTGTGCTGCGACTATAATTACTTTCCTACAAAACGTCGCCTTCGGGTGAGGCATGCCTTTCTTGATAAAATGGTTTGGCGAATAGCACGTTCAGGTTTTGTGCATATGTGTACGGCGGTGTCAAATTTTGCTGTCAAAGCTTGTGCGCGTTCCGTACGCTTTCTTCATAGGCTTTGGCTTTTACATACACCTTTTTCAATAGCGTATGCTTTCCTTTCATAAGTAGGCTTTGCAGGTTGAAATGTTTACTGGCTGAGAAATTGCTAGGTCCAACACGTACAGTAAGAGAAGCAGGGGCAAATCCAGTGTGCTGACCCCTATGTTCTGAGAGGCCTAACGAACATACTATGTGCAGAATAAGCAAACAGAACGAATCTTTTTTTTACTTAGTTCAATTTAGTGTTCAACACACAATATGTTTCTCGAAGAAATGAGCGTATATAGATACGCAACGTCAAAGAGTCAGTGTAATCAACTATATCAAGTAGGTAGCTTTAAGGAAGTACTGTAGATTTTATAAAAAAAATACTCCTTAAACAATGGCTGCTTTAGCTGTAGCGAACTCGTTTGAATAGTGCCTTATATTGAACACATTTAGAGCACTTGATTGTTTTGCCTAAATGAAATAGCTAAACTTATGAATTATAGTTGTTAAATAGATAAAATTAGCAGGTGCCAAAAATACAGAGAGCGAAAGCCGAGCCTACCTGCCATCTAAAGTTAGATATGAGACCTTCGCTACAATTTAGCGTTTGCAGGCCAATAGCATACGCAAGGGCCAGTTTCTGAATGAGTTAATAGTAATTCATATACATATGTGTCACCGTAATCGAGTGCTTTAATGATAGACCTTGTGGCCTGACGGGCAGCTTTTGTTTGCCAATTCGATTTGAAGCGTGCCATTTGGCATCCGTGGCAATAGTTTTTATCAACAAGAAAATAATACATCATTAACGGTAGAATGCACTTTTTTCTGCACCATGTCAAGTTCATGATGTTGCCACGCAATACGAAAACTTAGGTACGACAAGAATATTGCATAATGCGATACAGGCTTGAAACTTCTAAATATCGTAAAGATTGAGCTACAAACGAAGTTTAAGGCCAACAAAACAAGGAAAACAAAAAAAAAGATGATTCTCGATACCGAATGAAGAAACCATACAAAATCGCAGATTATTGAACTGCATATTTTTTGCATTCATGCTCGTATTACGTTGTTAGTTACTCACACAATCCCTACCATCGCGTTGATTTACTATTTGTAACTTTGTTCACTTGTGTCTAACATAGCATATGTATTCCATTAAATTTTCTATTAGATGAAAATTATAGAACTGTAGATTTCTTCAACGCTATCAAGTCCAACTAGTATTTTAAACCTTATGTCTTGGTGGAAAAATGATTCAACCCGAGAATCAGCGACATTTCATTCCAAAGTCAAACCATAACCAAAAATCAAAACTAGGTACTGTCAGTAACTCGAATAGGCTCGTCAACAGGTTTCCAGGCCTATGAACAGTCGCGCATGTACAGAGACAGCCTCAGTCTTTAGTCATTGTCCCACTTAATATTAACTAGTATATTAAAGCCTTTTATTACCACTATTAGTGCGATATAATGCTCTTAGTCTATTTCCTAGATATTTGTTTATATGAAGTCACTTTAATATAGAATTGGTTAGAAATATATTAGAGGTAATAACGCGCCTGCTGACGAGGTCATTTGAACCAGACCATAAGGATGGCCAGTACAGATACATGGATTCGTAATGCACAGCAGTGGGGACCCTCTTTCATCGTGATAAGAGCTTGATGAGCTGATTCGAGGCGTCAGAGTAGATGGGGATGATGATACTTGCACCTCTCATTCCGTTCACGCATTTGATTTTTACAATTGTTTTTTTTTGTTTTTCCCATCCGAAGATATACAGAAAAGCCTTTATAACTGTGTCTACACCGCCGAGCAAAACTAGTATAACGCCGAAACAGTCATTCATCCTTCAAATAATTTCTCTTCGGGTTCAGTCTTTTCTGCGAAGATATCTTCGATTAACTTGTACGAGGCCTGCCCTAATGGGTCATTTCCTGCGACTCCTCGGATAACTATTTCTAGTTTTAGGTTCAGTATGCCATTAAACGGGAGTTTAGGCCGCTAGCAACAGCATGAAACGAACTGGATCAATGCCCAGTTTCTAATCGAGACTATCTTATACGTTCATAGGTTTAGGCAAATACATTATCACTGCACCATCTTGAGGGAACTACTCACACTACTGTTAACATTCGAGGCTAGTTTACACAACTGGTTGACAACTGGTTTTGCCCCGGAATTATATGCAAGGCCCTCCATCTATTTGGTGGTCATGTTTAAGGCAAGTACAGTAAGCTTCGATCTGTCAAACGTTGCCATAAGTTTATAATCAAATTGAAGGAGCACTCCCATACAGGTTACAAGCATGCCGAGATAAGAGACTAGAGTGGCTTTCGAATGGACGAAGCAATCAAAGATTGTCAACGCATCCTGTTGATCGTCATAGGCCAGTGTCCTCCGTAAAAAGATTTGCTCTTTTGAACTAATCATTGACAGTTCAAAACAGGCTGACCTGTACGCTGTGCGACGGCAAAGCTTAATGACATCGCTTCCAACACAGGCCATATAATATAGGCCACAAGCTAAGAACAGGAGATTTATATGTCGCATCACACGGAGGCACACTGGCACCTTCTTAAACGGAGCAACTTCATCAACAAAGACAATATATAGTCTCGAAAAGACTTGCAGGTACAGCAGGGCCAAAAATGTACCGAACGTAGCATTTAGACTCGAAGTTATCCCCCGAATATCTGCCTTAACTTTGGACAGTTGTACTGTTCGTACAGTGCTCGTGAACATCAGATCAGCTTGTCGGAGTCGACACCTGAGTATGACCTGACCTTGCATATATATGATGATAGCCAGACATTCCACTTGGCGCACGTGTACGGAGCTCCATAAACCGAGGATGTATGTAGATGTTAGCGCGACGTGATACAAGTTAACTCTCTTGGTAGTAAGGATAGCATGAATAAGGTTGTATAAGATTGAGGTCAGCCAGTTATAAAACCATGCTGCAAAGATTGTTCCGTGAAAGGGGTGCAGATGTTCCGTCCGAAACAAGTGTCTAAGGGCTTCTTGATGCTGCCACAGGGATCTGGCCGTTTGCGCTATTAACAGGAGATCGCAGAAGTAATAGGCCATAGTAAAGATGTCGGTTGCGCTTAGTTGCTTTGTTACCGAGACCCTAAGCGAGATATATAAGCCGGTTTGAATCACGTGAAAGATGAGATTCATCGCGAAAAATAGTCTGAACGGAATGCATAGCCATTTTCGGGCAGTACCATGTTTTTCAGAGGAACAACCGCACAGCAGGCTACCAAAATCGAGTCCACAGATAAGGGAGAGCACTGCTATAAATGAAAAGCAACACTTGCTTAGCCAGGATCGATTGACACACCTGATTTTACGTTCAGACGTGAGTGACATTTTTGTAAGCTGATCAAAATGTCACCATGTATTACACAGATCTTCACACGCTGAGTGAGTACAGTCTTCTCTAACGTTAGGACCTTGTGACAAAATCTGTGCTGCCTTATAGACTGCTGGCTCTTTTAGTTCAGTTGGTTTAAACACAAACTTTTTCAAAACATAATTCAATCTTTTTGTTACATTTATACATTAATACAAACAACTACTGCTCTAGTGAAACGATTGCGATCGATTAATCAATATAAAATACAAAGGATGCATTGTGTAAATAGCTTTAAAGCATGCCATTACTTTCAATAGACCACGCTACTGTGAAGAAGCCGTTCTATACATGCTTTCGACGCAATTGTTAGTCCAAATATTTTTACACAGGTTGTAGACTAAGCAATGATAATCTTAATGCACAAAGCAATAAGGTAAAAAATATAGAAGATGGTAACATTTTTTATTCGAATTGCAGTGTTACGTCCTTTAACGTTGTTATTTAGATTGTTGCATTCATCATTTTTTATGATGTTTTGCTATTGTATGTCAATATTCATTGATTGTATTATGTCAGTTTTAAGTTTAAGTTTAAGTAAGTTTAAAAAGTTCTATGAGTAAAAATAATTTTTTGATACATTTTTGACATCACTAATGGTTAACTTAAGAATTTACGTTCGTCTTTCATTAAGGTAATGTAAAATTATGACCATATCAAACGCGCCTATTTTATTTTTATGCGAATTTACTCGATACTGTCGTCAAAGAAGCATCAATGATTATTACCATACAAGTTCCTACTATGGAGTCACTTGAACTAAAGGGGACGTCTTGCTGTAGGTCATGGGCCAATGCCTTCGGAAAGAACCCTGTTTGTTACAACTGAGTAATAGGAACGCAAACGAGGCTGTCCTGTTGTAGGCTATTCTACAACAGAGCTTGATAATGTTGCCCCATTGTACGAATAAGGAATATAACACAAACGAAACATAGCAGACACAGCAAGTCTAACACTATTCCAATATTTGCATTTGCAATAATAAATGAAATTTATAGTACTGAAAAGATTTTTTGATATGGCAGCAATATTAGCATAGGAAACACGATATTCAGGCTTGATATCATCCTTCAAATATTATTTTTATCGTTAGTCAGGTGCTTTTAATTCCAGTTAACACCGATCCAATCTGCCGAAGCCGTCATTAAAGCACAGTAGCACCTTGCATGTAAATAGGGGATAGATACTGCAGTTGTTTGATTTGGATTAAGTAATACTAAGCAACCAGATAATCATTGGATAGCACTTACTTATTAATCAGTACCGTGTAGAAATGCACAAAAAGCACGATCGTAGGGGATACTAAGAAGACGAATTTATCACAGTAATTAAAATGGCTTACATGAAACAAACGAATTGTGTCTAGGCCTATACCGATCTCGCGGTATGTTGTATGTTATTGACGTAATATGCAAACACAAAAATATCGATAGCGCATGGAACTCGTTATTACAGATTTGCTCAGTGATGCAGTATAGGCCAGACAAGATAGAGTAGGCAATTTTCCCTAGTAACCACCAACCAGCTCAGAAATCCGCATCGAGTGATCAAGAAGCTTATACATTTGCTTGCTCACTAATCACTAGACAATTAGATCTAAAGAGGATAATTCGGATTTGAACTACCTCGACGAGCTACCGTGAACAGCCTATCCTTTAGGTCGCATAGCAACCATCGTATAATGCTATATTTCATTAGCAACAAGATTTAGTAACAGATCAATCTCAGTTAACGAAATCAATACGCCAGTCTAAACGCTCGAAACAATATCAATCGCCTAATTCACAAGTATTCGTGTTTCTATAAAATACATAATTAGGGGAAATAATTCTATCATAGATATAATTTTTACAAGGATTATAATTTAAATCGACAAGAATGAAGCAACAAGGAAGGGTAATGGTTAAAGAGGGTTTTCAAAGATTTTTAACCAGTGCCGGCTCAAGCCATTATAATACTGTTTAATACACAACTATATTTAAAAAGCCCAGCGTATTATGAGATAACTAAATTCCTTACACAGAAAAAACTAACTTGCCGTTGTTCTCATAGGCCCTAAGTACTGCGCGTACTACAAACACTGAGCTGTGTCTCACTTGTGACCCAACCTAAACAGTAGACAAAACAGATGATTAAAACGTATCCAATTTATTTGCCCCCATATTGCCATCGAGTAGGTTTTTTGCACTTCACAATTTCGCCGTTACGGTGCGTCGTCTCGTATATTTCTTTCTACGCAAATAAAACAATCCTATTTGGTATTTTTCAATTTTTTACTAATCGCGTTTGACTCGGCAAAGCTATCAGGTAAGTCGTGATTAAGGGTCTCCGGAATGAAGTTCAATGTGGCTGTAGCGCCTAAAGAAAAAGCTGTGAGAATTAAATGTGGGGCAGATGCTCGCCAGTTTGCGAGGTCACGCATAAACGGTGCAATCATACCTCCGATCCGGCCGCAGCAAAAGCAGCATGCAAAACCAAAAACCCTCGCTGGTGTAGGCAATAGTTCGAACGTGTAAATCCACTTGATGGCCGTTGACATGACGAGAAGAAAGCGACACGTCATGTTTAACCCTAATCGAATAAAGACCATGTCCGTAGGAGTGAACGCTAAAATGAATGAGGCAATTCCTGCCAGTAGCAGAGTAATTGCTAGAGACGTCCTTCGATGGCTATAGCGAATGAGAAAGATACTTAAAATGCCTCCAGGTATTTCAGCTGCGGCAGATAAAGCGAAGCTCATGAAGCGGCCGCCCCCCAGCTTCGTTGATAAAAAAGCATTGGCAAAATAAAATGTATTTTCGAAAAACCAGTAAATAAGAAGCATCAACAAGTTATTGCGGAGTCGACGATGTGACCATATGTCGCTAAGTGTGAGGTTTTTAGAAGCGGCGTCAGCTTGCGCCTTTGCTATCAATGCAGGGGTTAACTCTTCCAAGTCTGGGCACTCGCGACCATTTTGACGAAATATCCTGGTTAGAGCAGTCTTAGCCTCTGATAAGCGCCCTTTTGCTAGTAACCATCGAGGGGACTCCTGAATAAATATGAGGCACGGTAGCATAAGAATAGTTGAAAGTCCTACTGAAATCTGTACCCAGCGCCAGTTATTGAGAGCCATTGCAAGAAGAGGAAGAAGTATCATGGGTAGTGTAAATCCGAGCGAGAAACCGATATTTAAAAGGTTCCGGTCACGGGGAAGGCAGATCTCGGTGTAAAGTGTCGCGGTCGTTGTCTGGAGACCCGATACGGCCATAGCTTGTAGAAAACGAAAACCATTGAAAACATGAACTGATGTACTCCAGGCAGCTACCGTACCAAATATAAACACAGACGCCGTTGAAACCAACAACATAAATCGTCTTCCGTACCAATCTGAAAGTTGACCTATAAATAAAGCTCCAATAAATTGTCCTACAAACGAAACACTCTGCATTGCCGAGCGCATCCAGTCGCGCTTACATACAAGGTCCCACTCCACCACACTGCTGCTTGGCGCAGACATGTTATATTCCCATCTATCACACTCCTCGGTAATATTTGGCCATATTGTATTCTCTACTATAACGTAACGTTGGCAGCGGCTTAGCTTTCCATTTATACGTGGTATACCATTTTCTTTCCAAAATTGAAGGTTGTTTTCCACCTCGCCCTCCTGCAATACAGTTGGCGGAGAACACCAGTGGTCCACGTCTCCAGCTAAGAAATCGATGCTAGTAAGCGTCCACGATGTCGGGAAAGCTCGAAGAACCGTCAATAACATAACAACGAACTGATACCTTCCGAACGAGCCCACAACGGTGGACACATCTAGCATAATTTCCGCCATGTTGCGCTAAAATTATTTAAGGCGTCCAGGAAAAAAAGGTGTGTTTGTTTCACTGACGAATGTTTCAATCCGCAATTAATCTTCACTAACGAATTAAATTTTAAATAAAAGGTTTCCTACACCAACGTCTCCTTATCGAAGCACGAGAACGACTGGCGCATCCCGCGACTAACCTGTGGCATTGTTGTCACAAGTAATACAGTAATGTAACCGCCTCAAATGCCTTTATCTATAAGCGAGGACGAATGTTGCCCTTTCAACGAGAGTCGTCACGCAGTCTTGAGCACTTTCTTCCATAGGTACGGTCCATCCTCGAGTCGATTTTCCATTGAGTCCGATAAACGCCGCCGATATTGCGGAAGCAAACAATTAAGGTATATAAGGCGATCCTTAAGGATTTTAACCTTATTACTCAAGGATAGTGTGCCGCCTTCTCAGACATCACTTCGGTTTACTGAGCTTGCTGTATGACACTTTTAATACGTCACCTTACTTCATATGCTTATCTTAATAGAATAAATAAAGTAAACATGAGACGTTATAAAATGTGCGACTGGTGTTTGATTTTCAAAGCGTGTAAGCTTAAATTTATTGAGTGTAGATATTAATTTAATTATATTACGTTTACGATACTTCCGCAGATATACAACTCTTAAGTCTAGCAGAGTCTATGTATTTACAAGCGAGTCCGTCGGGCTTTCGAAATTCGCACCGCTAGCAAACGAAATATGACTGGTAAATCTTTCTTCTATAAACTTGTGAATGAAAACCGATTGAATTTGCCTTAGGAAGTCAGTGCGAAAGTAAAAGCAAGCTTCTTATCTCGTAGATCAACCCTAAGTGTCAAGTTTTTGATCTTCAATACCCACAGCGCCGTTGAAGTTCAGCAGAAACAAGCGAAGGCATTAGGCAAGAAGGTCTTAAGCAAGAGTACTGTGTGGTGTATTTTACGTGCAATTTGCAGAACCTTAATCAACAAAAAATCCGCCTGGAGCATATTTTTGTTATAGGCTAGCTATGGTTCAATTTCTAACGCCAACTGCAGAAAGATCGGGCAAGAGAACGGTGCCGGCCGGGACAGAGGTCAAGTTCAATGGTAACGTTGAAGAGGTTCGGACGTAAGGTACACATCATAGACATCTGCTATTTCGCCGAAAATTAAACAACGGATAAAGCTCGCTATATGAAATTCCTCAGGAAACTCATGAACCTCATTAACACGGCAGTCGAAAGCACGCAGCCCGCTTACTTGATGACAAGGTCAGGCTATACCACCATGCATCAATTACTACCTATATTGAGCACAATAGCATTCAAGCTTGGCTAATTCTCCCGATCTAAGTCCGTATGAATACGAAGCTTTCCATCTTTAAAAAGACAACTCGTGTGCAAGCATATCCGACTGTCGATGAACTCTGAAAAGCCATAGAGAAATTACTTATAGATAAGTATAAAGCTGTTTAGAAGCCGCCAAAGCGCTAAAAAAAGTATGTAAAAATGAAAGAGCACCTTTAATACGTTCAAAAACTATCATTCTGGCTCCACAAATGAAAGTGATTTAATTCCAAAGCAATTTTTTTTATCTCGCTAAAGGTCACGTATTTTTCATGGTGAAAAAACAAACTAGGCTAACGTACGCCACTAGACCGCTTATTTTCAATATAAATGTGCTTCACGTACGCAAATTTTTTGGATACTGTAAAAGGAATTTTACTATACTGTGACTAATTATTAGTAAAGGTGTTTACCAAACCAATAATGTTGTAAGGGATGATCGATATTACTAATGTATGTCATATTTTAGTGATATCGATCAAGAAGATATGAAAGCTCATCCTTTCTAAATAGCTTTGTCAAATATAGCATTGTTCTCACAGTTCTGTGATTCGTCTTTTATAATCCCACTAGCTACGATGTTATATAAAGCCGTTCATTTTATCCCAGTAAAAAGCATAAGCCCTTCATGGAAGAAAAAATTAATCAGGCTATTGGACGTGATCGAATTGTTAATTTATGAGATAAATGCACCTACACTCCACGTAGACAAATAACACGCCACGGAACACCCCATGTATTGTTAATCGATTACATTAACACATCAAAAAACCTAACTTACATTTACTAACATGACCTACCAACAAGCCCGATCTACGATGATACCAACTGTTTGTTATTGATACATGGCAAATAAATATCATCTGCAAGACTGTTTATCGTTTTTCAGGTGCCTCATCGAGGTTCCTGTTTCAAAAAACATTAACTTTAATTAATATCGTTAACAATGTCAATGATGATACAATTACTCATGGTAATGGTGATGATATAACACCGTTAAAAGAGGAAGTACAACAAAAACAAGGCTATTACTTTTATCAACTGCACGCTTCATTCGAAAGCCCGTGTCTATAAAACACGAAGTCTATGTGTCATATGGTCTACTATCCTTTTTTTTTTTATAAATCAATTCAAATATTTAATAACTAGGCATCTACCTGACCATTAAATTAAAAAAACGAAACGACGTTTATATGCATTTTCCAGCGTGGGCTAATATGTAGTGTACAGCTGAATGAAATACGTGTGATGTCATTTTATATAGAAGTAATACAGCAAGCCACACGAAAACCGACTATGTTATAGCCATATATTCCTCAAGTTCTATTTATGCGACGAGACAGAAATGTACATTCTATAACTTCGCTCATCAATTCAGTAACTTTACTGGATTTGCTCAATTTTCAAGCTTCAGTCATTTATCTGCAAATTGCCGGCATGTGTTACACAAGTGATACTGCATAAATTCGAATATGGCATTCTTTCGCATAGGTCAATGTCAATACTGTGGAAATGAATAGTGGTGATGACTACGAATTTCGTGATCCGATGGCTGATGGTATGGAACGCTTAAATATTGAGAAAGGTATGTTTATTGTATTGTTTGTTATTTGTCTACGGTCAATACCCATAGCACTTTGTAGTGTTTATTCTTCAGAACTTCATATTTGTTCCTGAACCTCTGTCTAGAGTGCTTTAACACTTCCAGCAAACTAGACCAAAAGCTTTTGTTGTTCATATCGTATGATGCACCTATTCTCTTATTCGCCACGGCCTTTTCTAGTTTTACGATCGCTTGTGGAAGGCTCAGCAAGACAGAAACATAAGTTTATATTAACCGAAAATGAGGACTTTTGGCCTGGCACCAGGGGCTTTGTACGGAGAAAAGTTTTACTTGTATTAACAAACTTCGTTATTTCTGCCACTTCTTAAGGTATGCCTATGCAAATATTTAGAAAAGACGTTAGCGCATAGATGTTTTCAATGAAAAATAATTGAGCATTCTCGGATTTTACGAAAATTACAACATCAGGTTAAGCATTTTCCGGTCTCTAATCTATTTTAGCGGCGTTTCTTTACGCCGCGATCTGTTACAGAAGTATCGAAATGTATTAAAATTTCACTATCATGTTTAAACAAAATGTACATAATTTTATCAGATAACTTTTTTCATAACTATCATACGCAATGTATAACAAAATTAATACGCACAATGCACAACTTATTTATTTTCTATTCGCCTCATATCGTACACGGACTCCAATCTTGATGTTCCTGATCATAATAATAGCATACTTTTGTTGAACCTGCTCATGTTTTACCTGACGTAAAAACAAAATAGTCAGCCAGTTATATATCTGATATAGATATATTATTATTGATGACAACTCGTTGACTTAAGCTGAGTTCACTTTGAGCCTTTGCTGATTCTGTACCTACCTACTGCGTATGATAATGCAACCGCATCGACATAAATCTATATATACAAACAACCTCTTAATCTACACGATGGCTTGTCTGATTGTGAGCTGTCTTGTGAACAACCTTCATTCAATGAAGTAGCCAGGTGTTAGCTTTCAAGCTTCAGACGAAGCAGTTCGTTGAAATCCTAGCTCCACGACGCTCCTCCCACTGAAAATCGCGCGGATAACTCGAGCCAGAGTTCGGATTATATAACACAACTAGTTATCATAATTAGAATAACCCTAATTTATTTTATGTGAGTTGCATCAATCCTTCAGCTTCAGCAGTCTTCTTCTTCGCTGCAGTAGCTTCAAGTGCCATTTGGTACAAAGGATTTTCTTCGACAGGGACGCCACATGTCTTCGAATGCTGTTTCGAATCAAGATGCATAAGCATCTCAGTTAGTCGAGCGACTCCAGGGAATGATTTCGAACAGCCCCGACACGACATCAGAATTGGTGCGAGCAGCGCCTATAGGAACAAAATTGCAGACATCTATTATCTGGCTACGTTTAAAGTAATAGAAAATCTACTTTTTAGTATAATTCGCAATTATTGTTACGACATGCAAATGAGCGGATCCTCATAGCATGAAATCTGTTGACGGATCTCGGCAAAGTTCTCCTCATACTTTCTGGGAATACTCTCGGCCTCCGCACGTTGCTTTGGGGTAACAACAAAAAAGATTGACTAATTCTTAAGTCAATGCTTACAAAGTAGCCACCCAACTTTGGTAGTAGAGATTTTTATAATATATATATATATATATATATATATATATATATATAGCCTTAAGTAGATATACATCTACTTAAGGCTAATGTCTTGTACACAAAGTTGATTTCCGATTAACTGTTTCCTTAGGAAAAACCTTTTATAAACTACTAACGCTTAGTCCAGGAATACAATCTGTCGTATTTCAATCAAGATCCTCGTAATAATGCTTGCTGGCTTACAAAATATCTAATAATAGTAATGAAAACGTAAAAAAGTCACAAAATAAACCTAGCATTGCAGTTTATTGTATATGACAGTATTTTACCTTGGTATAATCCTTATCAGTAACTTCGATGAGTCTTTTTAATGCAAGATTACTCCCGGGAATCATGCGGACTTGACAGGCAGGCCGATCTTTTCCTTCATCGGGGCAGTACACTGTTCGATTGGCCTCATCGACAATTGGTCGTTGACGCTCTTTCACCGGTAAAAGGGCGCCTACAGTTTCACTCATGCTTCTGCCATAGGAAGTCGCAGTGATTACAGTAAAATTACCATTGCTAGTCTCCGTGAAATCCGACGTCGATTTTGTCTCATATTCGGCCTAACACTGTGCGTAATTTACATAGCACGCAGTTCATTGTAAAGACATTTTTTCGTCTAACTAATATACCAGCAGATCATTTTCACATTGAAATTCGGGCTGGCCGTAACCGGAGAAATACAAAAGTAAAATCGTCCATGTATGCGTTACCGGCACTTCTTTTTCCCTAACTCTTGAGCACATTTAAAATGTTTTACATTAGTGCATGATATACGAAAACATTAAAAAGTATTTCACGCATTTAAGTAGGACATACCTGAACAATGTTCGAGAATTAACCAAGAAATAGGTTTAAGCTGGGCTGTTTTTTACAACGCTTGGAATAGACCAATATCCAACGAGAGCTAAGCAGAGTGGGCATTTAATGCAGCTTCGCGGTCTTGCCATCATTTCACACAACACCGATGGCCGCAGATGAGGAAATGAGCGCGAAAATTTAAAACGTTCCAATTCGCGCATGCGGTTAAAGATTGACATTAGTCAGAATGCAAGAAGTCAGCTTGCGATGAATGTTTGTAAACTAATTTTTATTTATTAGCCTATGTAACAGTTGTGTAGTGGATCCTATGACGGACTGCTTAGACAATAAAGCAGGTTAAACGTTCGTTTATCCAGCCGTGTCAGTTTGACAACCGGTTGCAAGCCACCAGCTGTATTGAGGCGCAAGTTCAGCTGAAGGAGCTGGCTTCGTTTGCATCGACTAAGTGAGCGTGTCTAGTTAGCAGTGTATGTGAAACTATTAGCTAGTGTTTTATCGCTGTAGTGCGGCAATTCTAAACTAACCCGATGGCCCGCCGAGGATGTAAGTGTGGCTATTTTTTAACTGCAAATTTCAGTACCTACATGTCGTCCAGTTACGGGACTAATACTGTATAGTTGCGTTGCGCCATGTTTACAACAAAACTTAGCGGCACTCGGTATGCGCCTACGCCGTAGGACTCGTTTTTATTCGACGTTAATATTAGATCGTTTTTCATTAATCCCGCGGTTACTTGTCTCTACTGGTATGCGTTTTAGCGAATCGCGGAAGAGGTGGGGGACGAGGCACGAAAGTGCTCACTTTTCCGGCTTTTCCTTCCGGCGGAATCATACAACCATTTGCTGAGCAATCAGATAATCGGTAAGTTTGCTCATTTAATAATACAATATTAAATCTAAATTAGCTGTTGTGATTTTCTTATATATTGATAATATTTTGACTCGGTTTAATGGACTCGGACTAAATAACAGGATAGGTAGCGTGTTGTTGACAGTTAGCAGAGATTTGGATCTGCTAGGATCATTCCTAGTTGAATTTAACGATTACATGCTCGGGTTCGCTTATAAAAATGTAATGTTGTACCAAATTCAATAGATACAATGGCTTATGGTTCAAATTGGGTAAAATTCTATTGTGAAGTTTGGGAATGCACTCGTAAGTAAGCACATTAAATTTTTTTATCAGCCCAACATAATTAAGAAATTATTTTACAAATGCGTCTTGATTGGAATATTTCAATATAGCTTATTTGAAATTCGTAAAACTTAGACTGAGCTATTATTTTCTGTGTGTTAATCAGTTAGATTAATTAATTAATCTCTTGTTTTCAAGTCAGTTCTCATACAATGAGTCAATGGTCAGTTAATTATGTAATTATATACATAAATTAACTTGATTACCATAGGAGAGACCTTAGCCAGTCAAATTAGTTCGTAATAGCATAACAGATTTGCTTGATGTGCATTACAACACATCTCAAGGAAATTACTTTTGTGTGTTACAAACTTGTCAGTCTTTTGCCATAATACGTTAGTCAAATGCGCCTCTTCAACAGTTAAAACAGCTGAGAATGTTCAGACTTACCTAGGGTTGTTTCAATTTAACAGTCGCTTAAAATGAAACATGTTTCAAACGACATTTTTCAAATGGAATTTAACAGTAATAATAATTTAACACTATTTAAGTAATAAAGATTGCATATTTTAAACAAATGTATTAAACAAGTTATCAAAGCATAAGCGGCTGTCTGGTCTCTTCACTTGTTTTATTGGTAGTTCATCGTATATATAAAGTCTTGCTAGAACTTAATGGGTAATGTTCAAGTAGTTTACATCTGATCCCCATATCTGTTGCCGCCTACATACACAACAAACCATATTCATCACCAGTCGGGCTAGACGAGCTGAGTCCGATAGCTCCTCGTTGGCATCAAGGAAGGCTGTAACTGCCCAAAGCGACGCCCTCGGTGAGGCTGCACCAAGTGCAGAAAGGGCGCTTCGACAACTCGGCAAATCCGTCTTCTCTTCCTCAACAACAACAACAACAACAGCGGCAGCTAAAACAGAAGCTACTTCGCCACAATTATCGCGAAAACAAGCATCTATTGTTAATACGCGATTGCGCAAACGAAAACAGGGGACTCAGGTTAACCATCATCACAAGAAGCCACAGCTATCTATGAGTACCGCCTTGCCAGAAACCAATGGTAAACCTTTTTATGAACAGCGAATGGCCATTGCCCCAGCTAAGTGCTTACTATCGGAAGAAGGATTTCGCCGCCTTAGCGGGATGTTAGCCGACCGTTATGTAGAACGTGGGGCAGACGGTACCTACTGTGTTCATCCCGATCAAAAGCTTTTCGACGCGCAGATCGCAGCTGCTAAAGGCGTCAATGAGTTAAGTGATGACCAGATTCGTTATCTATTTTATCGCATTGAGGATGAACTGCGCGATCTCGCTGCCCACGGTCGAAGTAAGCGTCATCGTTTGTTTATGGCAGATCGAAACGATATCCTGAATTTTGCTATGCCTTTTAACGAATATACTGACAGACAACGGACATTGATTCGTAACCTCTGCCAGGATCACTTACGTATTAAGAGCGGTTTCAATGACTTCTACGTAATGCAAGTCCTCATTCCAGAAGCCTGCATTAGAATACATATGGAGGTCCACGGTACGACGTTCGAAGAGAGTGATGGCTTCCTTGATCCTGGACTGGTAAACCTCAAAGAAGCGATTGAGAGCCTGGACGCAACTTCTCGTGAAGGTACTCAAGCAAAAATCACTCTTACATCGATCCTGGGTAGTAATGAGAACGAAAGAACAATTATGGGAACAGTCAAGTAATAGTGATATATCAAGTGCTGTAAATATCTAGGTAATACAACGCACTCCTTCAACAGGAAGGGTCGTTTTAGATCAATTCCACTACACCCTGTGCAATAATCTAGCATTAGCATTTATGTATGTACAGCTGTGTATATGATTTCCTGATTTTATCCTTTGTAATGTGTACTACGTAACATGTATGGGAAAGGACTTTGAACTTCAGAGTTCTAATTGTGTTATATGAAAAGTACAAAAAATAACATTTTAGGACGAAATAAATCGTCGCATTGCTCTGCGGCATATGTCATATTAAAAGTGAGACTTGGGCTCTTAATCTTTGTATTAAACTACTCGAAAAATTATCAGAACAAAGAACTTTAACGATGCTATAAAGAAAAAATCCTAATAATTTGCACTCTTATGGAGCACAATGTTTTTGATTAGTTAAAATTAAAAACTTTATTATGGTAATCTTATAGATCGTTTCCTTTTTGGAAGGCACTTTGACAAGTAAATTACAGATTTCTGAATAAAATTATTGCAACTAGGATAAAATTGTTGAGTTGCTATTGTCTGCACAGTACAATTGCAAGAATTAACTGAGTCTGTCACATCTCAGATAATTTGAATTCTTGTATCATTGAACTGCTTGACTACATGGGTTCTATACAAATATTGTGCCAAATAATAACTATTCCATCTTATAGATGAAGCGCGGCTTGATTTGAAAGTACGAGAAAAAATCCGCGGAATTGCTATATTTGCTGATGTGATTAGTGTACTTCTGATTTTGATACATAGTTTCGGTGCAGTTAGTGTAACGGACACTTTTTTACAAACCACTAGCGAACCTGTGCTGGTTGTGTCATGATCATAAAAAATGAAACTTGACGAATGTCATGTGATTGTATATCATATTCACCGCATTTGTAACATTCAGTTGTAACAGAAAAAAGAGGACGTCTTATACAATCGTGTGCACTGTCAAAAGAGGGTTTGTCAATAAATGTATGACCTTAATAAAAAAAGTGAGTTTTCTTATTCGCTAGCTACCCTCAGATGTTTAAATAAACTAATAATTTACCATTTCAGATAGATTTAATCGTTTCATAATGAATTGTGTGGCTTACAGATGAAGAATGTGACTTACTTTTGAACAGTATATATAGAAAAACGGTTGTTTATACTCGACATACTAGTAGGCTCGAAACTAATGACTTGCTACAAATGTTAAGGCAAATGGTTATACAAGCAAATCTATTAGATAAACCTTAATAATCATGGATAAATAAAAAATGCGGTAGTGCCAACATTTCTTAAGCTGTTTTTTACTCAACGTGAATGTGTGATGTTCGCCATTGGAGAGAACTCAGTGAATGTGTTTTAAAATATTGACGGATGAGGCGAGACTCGAAAACCAAAATCTAGACATATCGTTGCAACAAAAAGCTCATTTATTATAATTGGTTTCGATGAAGTCATTCGCTTCTAGAGAAAAGGCACAGTAGCGGATGGACACGTACAATATTCTAAGTTTTGCTTGAATTGTCTTCGATAGGACAGTGTATTCCTGGCAAAAACTAATTTTTTTATATAAGAAACAGACTCGCATCGACCTTATTTAGAAACTTCCATGTGTATTTTGTATCATATAGAATAGTTTATTAATTAATCAGATGATTTTCATTTTAATACTAAACGTAACTTTAAATTCGTCGAACATGCTGGTTATTCAGAAAATTGTCGTCAAGCAAGAGTAAGGCTTTTGTGTAACATGATCGGAGTTGGAAATGGGCGTGTGTGTGAGAAAATAAGTGTGTTTAGGCAGTCGATACAGACAAAACTGCCACAAGAAAAGGTACGCGCAAGAAAAGGTCAGTTGGCCCTAGTAACTGTTTTAGGCAACGTGGGTTGTAGCGAAACGTAATTTCTGTATTGGGACATTCGGGATGATTGTTCGTTTGCAGGAAACCAGCATACAGTGACCCTTACGTACAACTGCAACAGCAGCAACATGCACACTATCCGCAACAACACCATCAACAACAGACGTCGTTCAACGATCGAGGCGCCGGTCGATATGCAGAGGACTACTTTCCTCAAAATCTACAACAATACCAAGAAGTTCCTCCCAAAGCAGAGACAAGCGCGTCTCAGATTCAGCGTACCTTTCCAGCAGATGGCGTATCAACGGAAAACGCCGGCCCAAAACCACAGACAAAAGATATGTCATGTAAGCCATAACCCTACAGTAACTTGGTTTAATTCGACGAAATCACTGGGCGTACCATTTTTCTGGTGGCTTTTGCTAATAAACGAGTTTAGGATTTATAGTAGCGTAGTCGATATCATTTTGTGCGATGTCCTCTAGGAACAGATAGTTTAAAATACTTAGAAAAGAAAATTAAGGAAAATACATTGATTTCAGCGTTAGTCTTTTTTATTAAAAAAAAAGCATTGTGCTGCTATAAAACTTCCAAATTAAATTACATCTATATAACTGTGCTGCCCTTGGCATGAACTCGGTGAACGGTAGGGTGGAAGGATTGAGTTAAAACAACCATGCCAATAATGCGTCTGTGTAGTTTTCCTGCTTCTTCCTACCTCGTTCACGATTTCATCAAAACGGTGGCAAAAAAGTTTTACGCAGAACTCTTAGCCAATAGATGTAAACACTAGCGAAACCAGAGCGTCTAGATCAAAGTGTCCTATCTAATGTTCTGTTCTTTACTACTATAGGGGAGAAAGTTCGCAAAATGAATTTATACCGTTTGCGTACATTACCACTTGACATGGTACACGTTTTGGAAGAAGGCCGGAAACGAAGACTTCGAGTGGCACCTCTGGAAGGCCAACAGAGAAAAATCGAAGCTGTGGAAAGCCTTGAAAATCAGGACTTTGTGGCAAAATGCCTGGATCCGCTCGATTTGCGATGCGACTGTTGTGAAGTTGACTTTATTGGGCCAAATAAGTTACGTGAGATGCTCAATCATATTCAGACGCCGCAACACTTTACCATATTCCGTACAAGAATGCTCCAGGATCCGGTATGTATACCCCCACAAAGGGACCAGTTTTAGCTCTGTTGAGCTGCCACACTGTGTATAGTAAACTATATTTTTTGTTAGTTTGGATGCCAGATGTTTTTTATAACAGCCATAGTTGACAATTTCTGTCATTTCTCAGTGGACTGAGTTGTTCTATTGTTATATGCTATGATATGTTTGTATTAAACATAAACCAACACAACCAAAGGAGATAAAACAACTCGAGTGTGCTGATCACTTAAAAACTTCTTTTAAACGTAAAGGTATTATTAAATTGTAAATTATTGTTCGCGTATTAATGTTACCTTGCGCTTCGGACATTGGCACACGTGTCATGAGAACGAGGCGTTTGTATGTATATGAAAGTGAATAATTATTTTTACATACATAGACTGTAACGATTAAACCGATGATACAGCACTTTTGTCGCTGTTATGAGTAACCTAAACTTAAAGGCTTAAAAACCTAAGCTTAAGGCAGAAGGACCTAATAATTCACAAATACAATTAATGAGGTCTGCGAAGCTTTTTAAATCTTTCAAAAAAATGCGTTGCAGTTGGCCTTACACATCACACTTGATGCGGTTAAGATTGTACTTAATTTATATATAAAATATCCACTTCACACACCATATTCGCGTTTGTTTACAGCTGTACGCTTATAGGATGAACAAAACCAGTGTCATACCACCGCAACCAAATCCTCAGAACCCCTCTAATTCGAAAAAAAAAAATAAAAATCAACCATCGACGGATCAGTCCGACGCACCTACTGGCCAAACGAAACGGAATCAGAACTCGGTTGCCCCGACTGGGGAGGACGGTCCCAAGGCAAGCAAAAAAATGAAGCATGCCGATGTTCCCGAAGAATGTGAGTTGAAACACCTCGAAAAAGTACCGCTTTCTTTTCAGCGTGGATTTCATAAGCATTGTAGTCAACAGATTGCGATGGCAGTGGCATTAACGTGCTGAGTGTAATCTAGAAGAACCTACTCGATAGAAATTCTGTCAGGAAATGTAGTACTTCTTAAAACGTCTCGACACAATATCGTAAAGAAATAGATGTGTAAGAGGGCATTGTATATAAATGTGAATGAAGCTTTAAGCACGTAAATGTTCATGTTGTAAATAATGACACGGCCATGGCATCTTCTAGTTTCTCTAAATCAGTTTGAAATTTGTTTCAGATCGACCAATGGCGGATTGGCTTGCGTGTTACGTGTGCAACATTACCTGTTCCAGTCTCAGCATTTATGAATCAGTAAGTTTATCCCATCTGGCTCCCTTTTCCTGACTCAGTATCAGCGATTTATCATGGTAAAACAAAATGTGTGAACAATAGCAGCTGCGGTGCCCCATATGCTAATTACGTTGCAGTGTAAATGTTTTATTGCGCTACCACTACGCGCCTCTGCCCTCGGCGTGAAGAAAACTTGGTTGATAACGTTAAAACAGTTGCAAGTATTATTCAGTAACAGCAGATAATATCTTGTCTGCATACGATGCATAGTTTCAACATTACCGAATATCGCTAATATTGGTTCTCAAATATGTTAGAATAATATTATACAATACGCGTCACTAAGACTTACGTATCCCTGTAGACAAACAAGTGGGAGGAAATGAATAGGCTAGTGGACGGCTTCATCTTACCCCACCCGTAACATGCGCTAAGTTACTCTTTTTTCGTAATGTTTGTCAAATTTTAGCACGCAGTCGGTAAACGTCACCAACGTATTCTTTCCCTAGCCCCACAGCATGTGCAAGACCTTCCATGGGGTCCATACTTGATCGATGGGAAACCAACAATTGATACGACGTTAGGAGCTGTCAAAATTTCTGTGCAGGCCGGCCAGAATAAACGTGTAGGCGGTGAGCAACCCCAGCTTATGGATGCTCCTTGGTTAGACAAGGTGCGGGGCTTCGTCGCTTCAAAGATTGCTAACAAGATGGAAATCTAGTAGGAATACTCCCTAGTTATATTCAAGGAATCAGATGTGAAGTATGGGACGAAGTGAACGGAAGCGTTCGAACGCATGCCAGCCTCGACTACCTGAAATGTGGTTGCAAGCGGCAAATAAATGTCGTGTGGGGAAAAACTTAGTTTGGTCGCTTGCAGAACAGATGAAGGAAGCGCGTAGCCGCCAAGAGTAAAGGTCTAGTGACATTACTTCGAATATCAAGCACGCTGGACCAGGGGCACACCACTCCAGGAGGAGTAATCGAATAGTATGAAACTTCGTCCCGAAAGCACTCGCGGATCTCTATGAAAGTGGTTTGAATACGCCGATTTGCAATAACCAAACGATTCGCGTTGATTCATGAACAACTCGGCAGACCCTCGAGTTCCGCGGTTTAACGTAGTATTTGGAAGGTAGAAGCCGGCAACTCACAACAAGGATTCGTTATTCTATCAGGACTGAGATATCCACCCTTCCTATTGTTAACCTACATTACATTTTTCCTAGATCTTAACATATAAATCCTGGTTTCTTGAAATGATTAAACGACACGCTGTTAGCCAATGTCACCTGAGCATTTTGGGATAACAAAATCATTGACGCCACTGTAAGTGATTATCAAGACATGCTCGTTAACGGTACTAACCGGTAAAAAATACCTTCCAAACTTCATCGTAGCTTGCTGTGTTTGGGCGCATCATGAACAGAGTTTATGTATCTTTTTGTGTTTGTACAACTTGCGTATCATATTGGGACAATCTAGCAAGTAGGATCAAGCTCTAGGCGAAACGTAAGGTAGATTTTACGTATAAGGGGCGCATGCAACCGGACCTGGATGGAAACCTAGGTTGCACCTTCTTCCTCCTCTTCAATTGTTCACCCGTTCTCACAAGGGAAATTTGAAACAGGAGTTTTCTTCACGGATCTTTTATTATCACTGACGACTAGGACAAAAAGTGTGACGAAGGTGTTGAAAATTAGCAACATTGAGTGAAATTTATACTAATGCGCTTATTTGTTGCAAAAAGATGGAACATAGAAGCAACTTAAATAACAAATTTGTGTGCGAAAACGTTGAATAAAACTGCATATGCTAATATAACGTAAGTTCAAAAATGTGTCTTACTTGCGTGCGTTTCAAATTAGCCTCTCAAGTGGTCAAAAAAAAGAAATCGTGTGTATAACTAGTAGCCCAACTATAAATCGGCACAATTGAGTTTGTGATGCAAATAATTTCCCTAGTCAATGAATTTCTATTTCAAAATTTATTTTAAAAAAATTTGCTATGAAATTGGATAGCTATCGATGTGAAGATTGACTTTATCATAAAGGAAAGCTTACGCTTGGAAAACACGAGCCTATTATTTTAGCAATAACTTGGAATTACACAGACGAGCTAGATTTGTAGAAAAAAAATCATTTTCATAAGAGCTTAGTTTTTTTGGAGTTCAATTGTAGGGTCACTGTTACTTGGTAAAGATTAAGGCGGATAAAAGCTGCTTAGAAAGAACAAAAGACTGATATATTCATATATTATTGTCAAAATGATTTATCTAATAATGGTTAAAAAAACACCGGTGTAGTGAGCAAGTTAGCCTGACTTCAAGAAAGCTAACATGTTACTAGTTAAAACCTCTGTCACCTATACGCGATTTGTTGTTCTGTGTTAAAATGCTTTCTTTATATCATCATAAGTACTATGGACAATATTTTCAGCGTGTAGAGTCATTTCAGTTCCTAATTTTAAGAGCTTTGCAAAGAATCATCCCCAGTGAAGGAGCCTCAGAGTTCTCGGGATAAATTCCAGCAAGTTTACGTTGACACAAATTTAATAAATTCTGTTTTAAAAAATGGAAACTTATGCGCAGAGTATCTCTTTACATAAACCGAATAGCAAGTTAAAACTCAAAGTTTTCAACCTTCTGTTTGGAAGTACCAGGTATTTAGTTAGCTTAGTCTTTCGTTAAAACACTTCCATTAAAAGAAATGATGAGGGGAGTCGCGGTTGTTACAAAAAATTACCTATGTACCCTCAAGTTATAAACAACTTCGGTCTTTCGTGTAGTCAGCCCGCGGACTGAACAGGTCGCAGTTTTTCTCAAAAAGTAGATCGATTTTTTCCCCCTCTGCTTTGTGTTGACGAAACCCTTTCTATTTGACGTTGCTGTTTCGCCAGTGCTCACCCAAACAAATATGGCTGCGCCCAGAACCTGCTCACTACAGCAGCGCTGCACTGATCGTCCTGAGTGGACACACACTGGTAGTTAAGTGTGGTGCCTGAGGGGAGACGGATTTGCATCGCTAATAAAATTTAGTATAGAAGAAAATTATCCACATAAATAAAATTAATTGATTAGAAAATAGTGGTTGAGTGTTGTGTCGGTTACCGGGGGGTTGTAAACTGTTTGCTGTTACATACATGCTTCCAATCTAAGTGGTTCTACATTGTGAAGAACGTGATATTCGTTAGAACTATAATGTTGTGTTGACGGTCGCAGGTTTGCATCAGTTCACCTCAGCTGGCCCTGGTGAGGCGAGGTTCGTATGAAATTGGATACTTCAAATGATGACAAAAGGCTGTGTCGTTTAATGGAATTATCCATAAGTTAAATAGTTATTGAACTAAACAAGGATCGGAGTATTGTATTGTATTTGTCGTTGTCGATTCGGCTGGAGGAAGATATGTTATACTGGGCGAACACAGCTGTGGCGTATTACAATATGGAGTGTGAGTGTGACACATAGAGAAGGAAAATTTCAAAAAACCGCCGAACGGTGCTCGATCCTAGTGTACCAGGATCTAGTTGATTGTCTGTATCAAATTCTCCTCTACCTATACCTGTAAAAATACAGCCAAACTTGCTGGTCAGTTGACATGTACTAATGATTTTAAACGCAATTGCGATGACCAAGTGACGTGCGTCGAGAGTTAAGGAAATGGCGTACTCAAAACGGAATCCGGATTTTTTTTTTAATCTATCTTCAACTTTCAGGCCAAGACAGGAGACATCGACTTACAAATGTATTTGGCTCAGTTTGGGCTGATGTCGCTATGTGGGATAACAAAAATGATACATTTTTTATTTCTTATATAATAGCGAATCACAAGCGTTAGATACAGAATATAATATAAAAATAAACCGACAAGCGTCCATAGTTGTTACTGGTTGGGTGATCGGACATCAGATAGAAAACAATGTACTTGACCATACCATTGCTTAATAACGCATAACCATGTCAAGGCTGTATTAGACTAAGGTAACCTAAGAATGTGCTCGGTCGTATCACGTATACGATTTTTGGCTAAAATATAAAAAATAAAAAGCAGACACTATGAACTAGTCGTATCTGAGCAACGTGCGATTTCAGAACGTATTCAGGGCGAACAGATGGCGGCTGTAGATAGCGAGAAATTAGTGGGGTAACAAAGAAACTAAGTAGTAACTTCTTTTTTTTGATAACTATGTGGCAAACCAGTTGTTTGTTCTGCCATATTTTGGCCCCCGTCGTACCAATTACAGCTTTCGATTCTTTACTGCGTACAGCTTTTTATATGCCTTATTGTTTCTTAAAGCGTGCCTGAGATGTCCAATGCAAGAATCGAGCCATTCCACTAGATTAAATGAGCAGAGGCGAGTAGGGGCGTTCCCGTAAAAGAAAAGCAACGATTATTTCGAACAAAAAAATCTATTCTCAGTAGTCAATAACGCCAAGAATGAATTAGAAGAAGCACTGAGTTACTGGCACATAAGAGCACCTAAAACATACGGACAACAACATAAATCCGGGTTCCGCAACCGAGAAACATAGCCATTGAAATCTACTGTGATGAATAAGGCAAGGGGGTTGGTTCGGCTTCCACACGTATGTTAATTATACAATGCCGATTACTGCTGTAGTCGAAGCCAACATACTGAAGCCCATCAACGTAATTTGACGTCCCGGTAAATAATTATATAATTTAGGTGATTTCTTAGCTAAATGAAATAGCGTTAGTTACCAATATTCGCCTGACGCATTCGAAATACTCTATTTTGACTACTGTTTCGGGCGGGATCAAGATTTGATCCTGATAAGGTGTATCGTGCTATGATCAATAAAGCTGATAAAAACGATTACAACCTAATGTAATATACCATCTGTTTCGTTACGAATCAGGGATGTAAGAAAAATTAATTAGAAAGACAATTAATTAGGCAATTAATTTAATGCTATTTTATGTTTCTAGTGCAAGCGATCCCTGTTTTGGGGCAAGAGTGTGATTATGTTTATCCTAAAGTGAAAAGATCGTATCCCTGATCTGCTCTAGATTTAAGTTAGTGAATGGTCTCAGTCTGAAAATTGAATCTTGACAACGAAAGCAATTTCGCTAGTTGTTTTTATATTACGCAGCAGTAGGAGTTGCATGCGATATTATTAATTATTTCCCAAGGTCACTTACGTGCTTTTGTTCATCTGCAATGGGTTTCTATTGCCCCCATAAAGCGAAGTTTAGTATTCGCGTTATATGCGTTAACGGTACATGGTAGTAAATGTTTAATATGCTATCGATCGAGCTAGTCATATCCTAAAAAAATTGCCAGTATATCAGCTGCTGTCCACTCACTGATGTTCTTCTGTTCGAGCTGTTCTCCTGTGATTTTTTGCAAATTGTGTGAAAGCCTCCAACAACTGTAGTAACTAATAACGCTAGTATTGTGTGTCAGTTCTGTCTGATCCAAGCAGTGCATAATGGTTAGCTTGTGGTAAAGAAATGACTGCGTATCACAGATACCGATCCGATGACAACGGGATTGCGCTTAGCGCTTTGAATGGGATAAATCTACCACTGCGTGACCAGCGCTTGCCGGCTACCGGGTGATCTGCTAACTCTGTAATGAAGTGATCGAGACAAGAGGAAGCGTAAAAGCAATTATAAACAAATGATGGATTTAGTACAGCAGATAGATGTGTTTTCGGTGATGATCAGGTGAGCCTGGCCACAAGTGGAGTGTGAAGATTGTTCCAAAATGAATAATACGAAACGCTTATTGTAGCGTAGGATTATCTTAAACTGTTTGCAGTTAATCCGTATTCATGAAAAGAGTGTTCAGCTAACACTTAATGCGTCGTGGCATCTGAGTTAGCACAAAATACTATTCATCATCAGCTTCAATCACGGGTTTAAGAGATTGCATGACCGATGAGGTGCACACTGTACAGTCGCGAAATTTGCTCTGGGAAGATATTGATTCCGCTGTGGTGTTTGCGATGGCAACTTGACTAGTTAAGACCCCCACTAAAGAAGAGGACTATTGGCGGTTTGAACACTTTGGAGCAAACGATATATATGAGACAGACGATATATATGAGACTTGTGAGCGTTAGAGGATAAAGGAGGTTTTCAATCTTCAATTGGATATTTATTCATTCCTTATTAACACAAGTCCCTGGAGCAGTTTTAAATCTTTTAGCTTGTTTAACTGAAAAATTACCCGCCCACTCCTCTCGGCGCTACTTCAAAAACAATGTTGTCCTTTTCTTATCTTTATTCTCAAGGAGTCTCTATTCTCAAGACCAGTGTTAAAAGTATCTTACACAATCAGTTGTTGACTGAGGGAAGTTATGTCAGCTATTTTGTAGAATATGTGCTAGCATCTATAAGAGTTTTCTGCTTGAATAGAATCCATATGTTTTAAGAGCAAGACTAGATTTAAGATACGCAATCAAATCCGGGGCTATTCACATACATAGAGCGTCCCTAATCCGATAAACGAAGACGTGCCGATTATAATTTCACAGTAATGTTCGTCCGTGTTGTCTACGCTTCATTTATTTTAAAATAGAATAACACAAGTGAGGCGTAGTCTGATGTCAACTGTTCAGTTCTAAATGATTGAATTTTTTAAATTGGTTTTACAAAATAAATGCTACGATATGTGTAGCCATATTTCTCGGTGTCTTTCCTTCTCGGTCAATTGTAAGACGCCGAATTTATGGCTATTTTATATGGCGTTAGTGAAAACGTGGTTGCGTTCAGTATCAATGGCGGCACAGCTATGTTTATGGGGTTCGTGATATTTTCATATTGCCGTTCAACCGCGCTGGGCTATAGACTCTAACTAATCGACATGAGCCAGCTTCTGCATTAGTTGACTTCTACTTCTTGCAGCTGTCCCTGAAATACTAATTTGCCAGAGCGTGGGAATAAGCGCGCACAATGACTCACGCCATTGATGCCCGAAGGTGAATATTCGTTTGTGTGGAAAGCAAACGGTAAAATGGAAAAATAAAAAGGCATAATTATATTTGCAAATCCGTTTCAGTCTGAAAGAATCGAGAACTTCGGAAAAAGCTCGGACGTCTTTTTTTTTTCTAGTCTAAGGTTTTACCCATAACAAAAGTCGTGGCCGACATCTCATATCATGCTCGCTTCGAATGGATGCAAGTGTGACTTCCTATGAACTTAAATATTATCTTATGCGGTTATTCTAATATTAAAAAAATAACACAATGATATTGCTTACCCTGTCCGACTACAACAGAATTTTATTGCGCCATGAAGGCTTATTATGGCCGAACCTGTATTCCTGCTGAGCCAGTAAAGGCTGGCTAGCGACTTCTGTTTACTAACACATAATCTGTGTCCTATTTGGCGTGTAAATTAAATTTCTGTAAACGAAAATCGGTCCTGCATTACGAGATATCTTTTAGATCATTCGGCTTTGCAGAAATGGTTGATGAGTTAATTTTCACTGCCGGGATCGTTAAACATCTCATTAAGCTTTTATGATATTTACCACGAAACCGCCAAACATATTAATTGTTTATAATAAGTAACCTATCCTTAAAGCTGTTGAGTTTTGGTTCCGACTGTTTTTCGAGGGCAGAGACGACGTAATGTATCTTTTGAGATGAAAGATACCGTTTGGTCCTTTTAATTACTTAGCCGCATCCGGCTAATTAGAATCTTTCCGTACAGGTCTGGTTATGCTCGAATAATTCATTTGGTATCAGGTGAAGATATCCATAGAGTCGACGTGCGAATGTTGAAGGAACACTGGTAAATATGTCTATATAGGGGCCAAAAATGTCTTTGCCTGTCGCGCAAACGTACGCGCTACCTCTTCAGGAGGGTTTTCGAATTTGCAACTTTTATATATAGCCTAGAGACGAGTAATGTTTTCAAATTTGAAGGCAATGTTGAGCCTAAAACGAACGAGCCTCGAACGCATAGGTTGTGCATAGAAAAGTTTTTCCGTTATTCAAAGCACTCGAATCAATACAGTATACAGCTTTTGTGTTCATTTATTCAGTGTCTTTTGGTTCGTGTAGAGCAAATCTCGCTTGATCTTCGAATTATATTTTTAGGATTAAACAGAGTGCCACTATATTGCGCATGCTGATTTAATCAACATGTTTCTTTATTATGCATAATGAACACGCATAGAAACTAGAAGCAAAATTCGGTCCAATTCCGCGTTCGGCACATGTTTGCGTTGTCATAGTTATCGCGTGGTGAGAAACGCTACCAGGGCAACTGCATACTCATGCTCATGTAGGCGGATATTCATCGACTAACTAAATTAGACATTATAGCTCTTTATTAGGATGTGTAGCGGTTCTTGCCTAATCTTGCATACGAGGCACTCAAATATGACACGACTTATATAGCATGGGACTATTGACGCTTGCCAAAAGTGCGAATAGGGGATTTTATGGCATTATAAAACGCTTTCCTGAAACGATGCTTTTCTTTCGGTTATAATAAGATCGTGGCGTATATTTTTCTTCACACACGCGTTCGTTGATGTCTTCAAGGTGAGCGCATTTCTTCGAGTACGTTGCGAGACTAACATTTTTGTATATAATTGGGTCGACGTTTACGTCTTTCGTATCATTTTAGAGCTATAAAAAAGCTTGGTCGGCTCCATATGATGAAAAAATTAGTTAGCTCGATATTAATCAGACGTATTCTCGACACCCTGAAACAAACACCTTCCTTCGTTGAACGATTGATTTTATCTTGTTTCTGGCAGATGGATGAAACCGGAGGAGGCGGTCCGGACAGCCTCTATCCTGGCAAACTACTCCACCAGGCCGCATTGTGGGCTAACGCAGAACTGCTCGAGGACCTTTTACACGGCGATGAAATAAGAGAACTCAATACACCGGATAGTTCTGGAAGGACAGCGCTGTTCGATGCGTGCACCAACGCTGATCCAGCCTGTGCGCGAATCTTGCTGCAAGCTGGCGGTCAGTTACTTTACCATTTATAGCGCCTAATATTAAAATATACAACGTACACAGAAACTTCTTCAACTTAATTCATAGTCATGATTATATTAGATTTTGCTTCTGATATCTCGTACGGTAAAGCGTCGCGCGCACTTATTCACTCTGTAGTAACTACCTCCGAATCATCGCTGAGCCGCCACTTCCGTCAATTAACAGGTAATCCGAACGTTGCCGCCGGAGAAAAAGAGCGAGGCCGAACCCCGCTTCATTTGGCGGCCGAGGCTAGTAACCTCGAGGTCGTGCAGCTTTTGATGCAACATGGGGCAGATATAAATGCAAGAGACTGTGATGGCTTTACTCCATTTGACATCGCTGAACGAGCCGGGCATGTCGGGGTAAGGAGGGTGTATAAAAGACAATCCAGTGCTGAATTCTACTCTATTTCGATTGTTGGCTTTTTTTTACCTTGCGAGTGGCGGATTCACATGCCGTAGATCGTGGGACATGTTCTAAGTCTAAAAAACCCAATTGCAGTTGCTTTTAGTGAAATTATTGTGTACTTTGCTAAGTTGCCGTTAATCACGTATGTTGCCACAGGTCATGGAAGCGTTGAAGAAAGCTGGCGAGCAGCAACAGCAACAAAAGATGGACTCCTTCGCCGAACTGTGGGAAGCCTGTCTTCAAGGTGATGCGTCAAAACTTCGAGCGATATTGGTATCGCTCGGAGAGGGCAACGCTCAGAGTGTGGTAAACATCACCCTCGACGGTGGCAATACACTGCTTTATAAGTAAGTAGCATAAATACATTGTTCGAGGTTAGAACAGATGAGAAACAAATAGTTTCGACTTTTTGCTCGTTTCTATGCTGTTACGAGATGTGTTTACGTTTTGTAACCTAGATAGTTATGAAACTTATGATCTACACATTGAGGAAGTCATTTCGAGGCTTTAACGATAGTTTTTTACCAGGGCTTCGGAAGATGGTGAGGTGGAATTGGTGAAAGCCCTAATAGAATTCGGAGCTGACGGACGGCTGCATCCTTTGACAAGGCATTCACCGTTATACATTGCCGCCTCAAGGGGAAAAAAGGATGTCGTTGACATTCTGCTTGAGGTAAACGTCATGTCGTATAAACGAGTTTGCTACACATGTTTCTCTCGTGCACGTATTATAAATTTAATTTGACTTAATAACCATTAAAAGTTACGCTACTAATAGTTTTGAGCCTAGAAGAAAGTTTGAGACACGTTTAAGCATGTACACTCGTAATATGACCATATACTAAGATATATTGCTTAAACCTATACTAGGATAATATATATCATCCTCGGGTAGTATCACTTCAGCTTTCTTTCACAGCATTGTTGTGTCTCATCACATTATTCTAATGTGAATATTCGAGGGCAAACGATGGGGACTACAACACTCTAACGGAGTTTCTAGCAACCGTTTATATCCAATTAACCCAAATCTTCACACTTACGATTCATATATATATATATATTGTCTCTATGGTAGTATTAAATCTAAATAAAAGTAGCGAAGCTTAACCAATGATTTGTAATGTGAAGTATAAAAGTGAAGGTATTTACATTGCCTCAAAAGGCATAGATGTCCACAGAATGTATGTTTGTCGCATAAATGCCCGTTATGAATTCTGGATGCAGTTCTTCAATAAGTACGGTCTAAAGTTGTGCCGATAACCGTTTTACAGTTAGTCCGGGTTGTAACTCATAACTTGTGCTCCTAGCAACAAGTTGCATTATCAGGTATCGTATTGTGTGGAAGGAAATATGAATTTTTTATTTAAGTATGTTATTTTAAGGATAGCTTTTATTCAGATCATCAGCTTTATTTCCGCTTGATGAAATCATTCCGCAAAGTCATATCGACCTTTTGAATATGTTTACAGCAGCTGTGTATAGCGTGGCGAGATCAGTGCTCTGACAAAGTATACTAAAATGTAAGAGATCATCTAATCGATAGAATATAAACACTGAAGAAATCACTCAATTCAAGTATTAATTTTATCAAATTTTAAAGTAAATACTATTTTGAGTACTTCGTAGTCGTTCATTACAAATAATTTTTATTCGAAACGTCTTTGTCACGGGTCTAGTTTTTCATGAATTGAGCTGTTAAACGGCCCAGTGCGGTCTTCCATTCAACAATAATAAGCTCTTCGGCATTGCTGTAGAAGAAAGTGCTAGAAATGAGGTCCTTGTGGCAGCCAGCCACAAGTTCATAAGTTCAGCGTGGCCCTTTGTGATGCTTAGCCGACGAAGGAATGTATCATAAATGGATCGGACTATTTACCTGCTACTCCCATCAGTGGTTTGAATGCGACTCATTAGGATTACGTAAGAGAACTTAGTTAGAAGTTCTGAAAATCTAATGCATTGCTCAGCGGGATTTGACTGAGCTACGGATGTTAGACTTTTAAACTCGTGGTTTTGTTCCTTCGTTTGTGCGCAAAATACTTATGAAAATACAAATTTTACAATGATTGATGTACATTCCTTATTTGTCATGGTCCTTGGGATGTAGCGATGATAGAGTTTGGAGCAGTGTTTCGGTTTGAAGTTATTAGGTTATATACGATCTAGCTAATGTTAATAACATGCGTTGCATTCGCTAGGACAGCACATGGCACTCGATAGAAAATTCCCGAGTATTCGTTTACAGCCTAAAGGACCGAACACGGAAAGCCTGTGCTGATTATTTCGCGATATGATAGTCGCGTTTATGGCAGATTTTGTGCAGATGTTGGTGCTGAAAGCGAATTTTAGTTGTACTTCCATGTTTTCAGTGATAATAACCGTATGGTTGAACTAGCCCATGTAAAAGTCTAAATTCACGGGCCCTGTTTGTTGATGACGGCTAATTCCTCGGAGAGCATCTTAGGGTTTTTAGGTCTAAAGTCTATTGTCAGGAAGCGGCCTTCGACGTTACTGCACCTTAAAATATAATCGGACGGAAGGTTAATCGTATACTGAACAACGGTTTCGCTAAGGTACTTTGGCAATAGTAAGTGGATGTTCTGTGCATTAGAAGTGACGGGTGTTAAATAATTGAGACCCGTTCACGACTCAGCACGACGGGTTCTTTGTTTGCGTAAAGCAAGGGCTTGAGTTTTAGCAGAAGCACATCGTCTCTTTGGTCAAAGTACTTAAGAAATTCAATGTCATTTGTACGGTGCTTGATCGAGGAACGTAAAAGCCTCCAGGACGATGCATCCGTCTCTCGTTTGGAATCGATGTGCGAGCCCAGACGGACATTTGCGATCTCATTTTGTGCTTTAAAATCGTACGTTTACTTCACTCGACTGGATCAATTTTTGCCGATTTCCCTATAGTTCGCAAGGCACATTATAGTACTAAATACTATCCGATACATAGCAAACCAGCTGACTCCAGAGATGTGTTTTTAAAATAGTTCGCTGCAAATGTCAAAAAATCGCGCAAACTGCTCTGATAAACAGCGGAAAGCACAGGAGTAATGCATTACTATCGCCACACTGACTGAAGGGGTAATGCTTAGCGCCGAACATCATCGCCTTGATTAAACCTCTTGTATTAGGTATAAGCTTGTTCAACGCGTCTATGTGGATTCCCGAACACTTATTACCTTTATCTACTGACAACAGCTATCAGTAGCCTCGCATCGACCTGTGTGGGGTGAGAATGTAGCGTGACATCGAAAATGTAAAAGAAAAGACGGTAGATGTAAAATGTCTAGATCGTTTTTGAATGCAACAAGTTTCATTTCTTTCACTTAACGCTGTATCAATCAACGTCAATAGCTGCTCAATACTCACGCATCTGTATCTATTTGTAAAAAAACAAGATGAACAGACGGCAGGCTAGATGTATCATAGTAGATACCGCGTCGTATATTTAGATAATGACTGTCTGTCTACAAAAATTAAGAATAGGTAAGCTTTCTTATGTGGCTCGGTGGCGAATTCGGACGCTTAAAAAATTTGGATATAGCTAGGTAGATTGACATACAGGTAACGAACACGACAAGCTCAAATACATGGATAAGTTAAGACACAGCTTAAATTTATTCAACAGTATTTATTGTAGATATAGGAGAACAGCCCGCACTTGCTGCAATGTCTGCATGGAACCTTCGATCTTAATGGCGTCTCCTTCTTGTTCGTTATATTTATAGGAAATCACTCGAATGAATTACAGTAACTATCAGTTTCCGCTACACAATGCTATTTTTCTCTTTTTCAACTTAGTTTGGTCAATACGGAGTGCAGAATCTGGCCTGCCGAAGTGAGGCGAACCGTCATTCCTTACCCATGCTTATTTTATCCTAGAATGTTTTCAATTTATTTTAAATAGCAATATAACTAGTTAGTGTTTAGCACTTGTGTATTGCCAAGTTCCTAACCAACTTCCATGCGGTCAACATTTTTTGCAGCAATTTCCCGATTTAGCAAAACAGATGACAGTTGAGAGATGGCTAGCACTGCATGCCGCAGCGCTGAACGGACACCATAGCATCGTCGAGCGCCTGTTAAATCACCAATATCCATCATCGATGAAGACGCCTTTTAGAGATTCATCAGGCCGTTGGGAATTCACGATGCCCTTCGACGTGAATGCAAAAGACGTCGCCGATCAAAGTGCCCTCTACGCCGCTTGCAGGTATGCTCGCTGCGATTGCAACAATAAAGTATACACCAAGTACAAATATATACAAATGTGATTTTTCTTCTATTGATAAACCAGCTACATTATCAATTCTAAGGTATCGTACAATGCTCAATAAAAATGTCCGATTAGTGTAACCATGTTGAAAGGGGAAATAGGTAACAGATGTAAGATATAGACGGTACTAGCAAGACTACAAATTGCAACGAATATTGACAATAGGATCATAAAAAAGCCTATATTTTTCTTGTGGACCCGTCTGCATTGTAGACAAGGAGATCAACGTACTGTCGAGGTCCTTTTGAAGTGTAAAGTATGGGCTCATCGCGTGGTATCTGATTTAAGCGACACCTCAGTGCTTGAAGCAAGTCCGGTTCGCGGAGGGGCCGGGAGTGGAAAGCTGCGTTCGATTATGACCAGACTTACAATGGAAAGCTCCGGTATGCATACTTAATTGATAGAATCGAAATAATGTTCTGCAAAATTTCATCTTGACAGACATGTTCCTTCGTCGTCTTGGCAATTGTTCTTTGTGGTTATGTACTAGGTAGACTTGGAATGTGGATTGGCTTGTCTACAAAGAACACTCAACATTAGGAACTCGCAGAAGTGGATGGCAAACATTTTAAGTTAAAATTTCCTTATCGGTGACGTTTTCCAGATGAAGAAATTCCGTCGGACTTTCAACAGCTGTGTCCTCTCCGTCTTAACGATTTGAACCGTTCGGACTCTGGTAGAGAGGAAACAGCACTGCACGCTGCCGTACGAGGAAAGCATCATCAAATATGTTCGACCCTACTTCGTGCCGGCGCGGATCCAAACATTGTATCAAAAGGTATTGCTTTTTGCCTCCTCGTTCTAAAGCGGACAATGACTGAACTAAGCAAATGTGAACATATTTTACAATATCTCTTTGTCGGAGACTAAGGATAAAGTTATTTCTTAATAACGTTTCATATATGTAGGTGATGAGGAGCGTAGTCCAATCGAAGATGCCTGCAGGTTGAGAGATAACCAGATGATGGAGCTTCTACTTCGACATGGTGCCACCGATTCCGATTCGGGGGCGTTACGAGCAGCAGCTATAGTCAACGATGATCGAGCGGTTGCCAAGCTTTTGTCGTTGAAAGCACATAAAGATAATGAAAATAAGGTAGATATTGAGAAGTCGCGTATCTTAATGTGACCTTCAAAGTATTTATTAGAGTAGCATGAACTCCTTGATGTTGTCGTTGCTATGCCTGATCTGTCAAAATGCATATCGAGTGAAAAGCAGTATGTATCCTCTAAGTAAGGTGAGATAAAGGCTTAGTTAGTTTTGAAACTTGGCCATAAACCAAATAGCTGGACAGTTGCGTTTGTGTCGTATGGCCATTATGCTATATGTATATATATATAATACGCGACCTACCTTTTTCTTTGTTGTGATAGCTTTTTACTGCCAGTTTAACAAAAGATACAGTGAAGTTATTCATTGCCTGGACTAAATATTGATAATTCTTCTAAAAAGAAATTGTTTTATTGCTTAAACAAATAGGAATATGATGAATTTGTCCTTAGTTCGAATGTTCTTATATAAAATATCTGATTCATATCGCTGCAACGCTTAAACCTTATCTGTTTCGCAAAAATTGACTGAGATTTTGTAATACAACAAAAAAAACGATAAATATATGCGGTAGAATTGGTCTTGCCTTAGAGAACCTTGTTTAGGTAAAACAAGGTTCATAGCTAAGGAAATGCTTGTTAAAGCCCGTTTCTTGTTGTTGAACAAGCATTATATAAGCATACCTGCTTTTTGGCATACCACTTATTTTGGACACTTAATTTGGTATGAGGTAGCATCAAAAAATCCACACTTGTTTCAATCTTTATATTTCGCGCCTCATTTTGACCTTGTTAATGAGCAAAATAAAAATGAAATGTGCTTTATGTTGCAAGTACTAACATAACTATTTGCTTGACCCTCCTTCCTTAGATTAATCCTCGATTTATTCAGGTTTGTTAATCGTTCCGATCTAGTAGCAAGCCAAACATAAAACATTTACTTATCATTATCTGCATTGGAGCTTTTCTAATAAGGACGTTGACGTTCGGTCCAAGTTGTTTTTTTTTACCGAAAAAAGAAATTATATAAGCGTGAGGATAATTTAAATTGTTCTACATTCATCCTAATCAAGTTAAATTCAAGTCATATTCATCTGTCGTGCGCGCTAGTGTGCCTCCATTACGATGCATGATTATTATACGTAGCTGATTTCCACAAATAATCCTTTTTTCCACCTCACGAAAATGACTAAGACATAGTCGGTTGTTTCGCTTACTCTGTCAGGTAAATAAGAAAGCGCTCGAAGCATTGTCGGATTCTGCGTATACAGCTGCTTTGCTCATTCCAAATACGCCAGTTATGATAAATTGGCATCGTTTGGGTTGCCATTTTTCGCGGATCAATGAACAGTGGCTAATCGATGCCGGGGTGATACTCAATATGAAGCTCAAACTGAGTCCGCAATCGCGAGTTCCTGCTTTGGGAGCCATTACGAGGCTCGATGTGTCGGCGAATGAGCTTATTGAGCTTCCTGAGTGTGTATTCTCGGTGATGCCATCCCTGAAAGTGCTCACAGCATCACAGAACAAGATCGCAGCACTGCCGGCAAGCTTCACTACAACGCACTGCAATATCGAAGAAATACACCTTCAGGACAATCGTATTGAAGAGATTCCGACAGTATTCTTTCGACTTCTGCAGCTGCAGCTGATGGACATTTCAAACAATAAGATCCAGCAAGTCCCGTCCGATATGTGGCATGCGCCACGGCTTAAAGATCTCAATTTGTCGATGAATCTACTCCGTGACTTACCTGGCGCATCAGGGTATCAACAGGAGCCGGTAATGACGTTCGAAGAACAGGGTCTACAAAGTAAAAACGCAAAGAAAAAGGATCCGTGCGAACCTCAGATGCTGAAGCATCACACCAGATGGCGCGAGTCACTCCAGTTGGTCGAGAGTCATCCGGAAGAGAGTATTACAAACCGAGCTTTGCAATCACTAAATTTATCGCACAACGCTTTTGAATGGGTACCAGCTGTTTTGGCGTGCAATGCGCCCCAATTGGCTAGGCTGAGCTTGGCGTACAACAAGCTGATCTATGTTGGGCCGCTTAATTGCTATCCTGCCCAGATTCGGCACCTTGACTTAAGCTGCAACCAAATCGGCGAGTGGCTTATTGCACCGGGTAGCCCGCATGTCGAGCCTTGCTCGGTTGCAAACAAAGAAAACTCAGGTGAGTGTGTTGATGACGATAATGTATTGGGAAATTGAAAAAGTAACGTCGGTTTTTAAGTCCAACTTGAAGCAATTAATATTTATATTTTGAGATATTTTGCTAAACTAAATAAACACCATTTTGATCAATGACCTTTTTTACTTTTCTAGCGAACCATAACCCTATCGTATTAAAACTTTTATTGTAGATGTTTAGTTCCCTAGTGATATTTTGGCTTTCGCTCGTGCCAGTCTCGCTCAACTTTTGTGATAATTTCATCACTTTTTTTTTGTAATTGGTTGGTGACTCCGAGGAGCATCGTTCACCTCACATAGAAGGACAATGACCGAACCATTTTTGGGCCATTTCTTCCGATAGCTCATCTTAACCATTAACAGCAGGCATATTTGCATGGATCCAAATAGTATTTATACCTTCATCGTGATAAAGTTGTAAAATATAGCGACTTTCTGTAAAAATTTCACTCAGGAGTACTTTAAGTCTTGATAAAAATATCAGCTTTCACCATTAATGCCAACCCTACGCGACCCATACATATTATTCTGGGCAAACATATTATTCGAAGCTATTGAACTAGAAGAACCGTCAATACTCATTCAACCACCAAATATATATATATATATATATATGTATGATGATTTGACCGAAGATGTTCAGACTGTCAGCAGACTTTTGCCCCGCCATATATTAAGTGTGTTACTATAATATAATAGGCTAGACACGTTTGATTTGTAGCCATTTAACTGGTTTGTGCGAAGGCCTTATTCGAATAAAATGAAAACTGAGGATTGTGTTCCTTTGTTCGTTTGGTTGTGTCACATTCGTGCAGCGGCACCTGGTAACAAACATCGCTGTATTCACAGAGCACACAATCGTTTAGAATCGTTGCGGACCCTTCTATTGGGCAACAACCGCTTGACCCAGGTCGTAATAGCCTCGGTGGAGAAAGTCGACGAAAGGCTTCTATTTCCAAATTTGTCTATGCTCGACATGGCCAACAATTCTGTCAGTTCAATACCAGCTCAGATTGCGGAACTGCAGGGCACTCTTTCTGTACTAAATCTAAGCGGGAATTCAGGTATTGTGCATCTTCCACCAGAATTGGGTTTACTAAACAAGCTATGGAACCTCAATCTACGAGGCTGTAGTTTACAGGAGCCTCTTCGAACAATGATTGAATCAAGAAAGTATAAGACAATGGACATTGTTGGCTACTTAAAATCCATCCTAGAAGAGTAAGTAACACTGCGAGATTGTTTTATTATCTGTTTTTATTATAAAAGGTAATTGAATTTAGAATTTAAAATCACTTGGGCCTTAGACTAAACTAGATCAGTATTTAATTAATCAATAAGCTAAAAGACTCGACTGATGAAGTTTTCTGGCTGTTACACAACTTTTTATACCTTTACGTAGGGTTCCTAAATAATGAACGTACTTGATTCATACTCTCGTTTTGTTGGACCCAGTTTATTTAATAACATGTGCACACCTCAGGTCATCTGGTTAGTTTGACTGTGTTAATAATCCTTTGCAGTGCTCGACCTTATGCCCGAATGAAGCTAATGGTTGTGGGCACGCACGGCATTGGCAAGACATCTTTACTCGAGGCTTTACGGGGTGAAGGTTCTGGAAAAACAAAGGCACCCGAGCACTGGGCGAAGCGGATGGGCAATAAAAATATGAATTTAAAAAACGTAAAAGGCGTTTCGCTATCCACGGTGGGTGTGGACGTTGGTGATTGGGTGTTTGAGAAGAAACCAGGGCGCGGGCCTGTGCTTTTTCGAACCTGGGATTTTGGCGGCCAGAGAGAGTACTATTCCACACATCAGTATTTCCTTTCAAAGCGGTCATTATACCTCGTCGTTTGGTCGATGTTAGAAGGTGAGCGGGGTGTGAGGAGTCTCCATCAGTGGCTCGTTAATATTCAGGCGAGAGCGCCGAATTCCCCAGTGATTATAGTAGCTACCCATCATGACCTTGTGCAAGAAAAATATCCATCGACGTACAGTGAAGACCTGCAGCAGATGGTGCGCGATAGGTTTCTGCAGACTGTGGACGCTGATAAGCGTGGTCTTCCACGAATTCTGGACTCGATTGAGGTGTCTTGCAAGACGAAACACAATATTCGTCGTTTAGCAGAACTCATCTATGACACAGCGTACGATCTGCGTTGTACTGGTAGCAAGGAACGACTTTTAGAACAGAGAATTCCAGCGAGCTATTTAGCTTTAGAGGATATTGTCCACCATCTTGCCGTTGAACGACGAACAAAAGGGAAAGACCCGGTGTTGAAGAGCGAAGAATACGTGAAGATTGTTGGTGAGGAGATGAAAAAACGTTTTAACATGGCATTCCGTGATAAGAGCGAGCTTAACCAGGCCACAATGTTTCTTCACGAGAGCGGTGTGCTGTTGCATTACGAGGATGCCACTCTCCGCGACCTGTATTTTATTGATCCCCAGTGGCTCTGTGATATGCTCGCCCACGTAGTGACGATTCGCGAGGTAAATCCGTTTGCTCGCCAGGGTATCATGCGCGTTGAAGACCTCAAGATTGTGTTCAAGGCATCAACGTGTGCGCCTGCCGACCCAGAATCGTACATTTTAAGTTTACTAAACAAATTCGAAGTTGCTCTGACATGGGACGGCCGCAACCTTCTCATACCATCTCTTTTACCTACAGAAGATCAAATGCGCGCCGGGGCAGACATCAAGGTACCAGCGCGTTCCCGAACGTGGGTGCCCCGTGGGCCGAAAAATAATTCGAGCAATGACCTCTCGCGTGCTGGTAGTGTAACGTCTGTGCAGTCTGAACCAAGCCAAGGAACTCCTTTACGTCGGACGCCTCAACCTGATGCGATCCAGGATATCGACAGAGAGATTCGACGCGTCATAGTTCTGTCGTATTTACCGTCTGGGTTTTGGCCACGGTTAATGACCCGTATACTGGCGGACGACTTAATTATGGAAGCTTTGCGGTCATACTACGTGACACCGCCAGATTGTCCGCCGCTTCCTCCAGAAGTTCGGAGATCGGCCGAGTGGATTTGCTGGCAAAGTGGCCTAGAGTTGCACTATGCAGGCGTTACAATCTTGAGAATCTCCGAGGTCCTTTCACATTTACCGACGTACCCAGACTATTTTGATTCAAAGATTTTGGTCAAGTGCGAGCAGCACTGGGAAACCATTGACGTGAATACGTATACAATTCTTGATGTGAAGTTGCCACGATATTCAATTAAGCTAGAAGTTCCATTGGCTGTAGAGGTTACGGAAAAACAAAAACTAGAAGAAAGCAAGCTGCACGAAACACATATCCTCAGGTATGTGTCTTCGTATATTAACTTTGCGATGACCCGGTCATTCATGGTGGTAATTACTTATTATTTAGTCTCCTCGCTGGTTAACACCTCGAATATTAGCTGCTTATCTTGAAGTTTGATCACCAATTAAAAGTAAGATATAACTGCGTTCTGATTTATAAGAGATCTTCCGCTCTAGAAAATTGATCTGAATTAATAGGCGCATAAAGACTGTCAGTTTGATAATTACTTATGGTTGCTCGTAAATATGCCTTCGTAGACCTAGCGATGAGGCGGTGACCCAGCTACTATCTTTAGCAGTCGAGCGAATCGATACGTTACTTGAAGATTGGTATCCGACACTCGGTACCCGGTTCGTACACACTTCGGAAGGACGTTTTCTTGTCACTCGACTCGTTCCCTGTAGCCAGTGTGTCCGTCAGGCCCATGAAGTAGCGACCTGGCGGCCGTCGACAAGACATCTACAGCCGCCTGTCAACAACCCCCCGCATAACTACCAAAGCGAAAGTGGAGATTCTGGTAAGAGAGCTCTGTGTGCATCAATGACACCGTATGCTAGTGGAACCGTATTATCGACCACCTATGTTCACAGAGTCATTAATAAATTGTTACGGCGCTAACTTCTGCGCATGCGTCTTTCGCTGCGAAACTGGTATAAGGAGTTGCTTAAAGAAACGTACGCTTGAACCTATAGACCAATCAATTGACCATAACCTCCAAAGTTAGGATGTGAACGTACTCAACAAGATTGCTCGAACTCATATTTATCGCGCATCACAGACAATAGGTGGATATAGATCGTGCGGTCAGTATAATATTTTCCGCAAACACAAATTTCCGAGAGCTTAAGCATTGTACAGTATCATTTGTCGACACCTTCAGAGTTCGTTATTCTACCCATTCGATGTACCTTGTGCTAGGTGTATTTGGAAATGGCTCATCGGATAGCCCCCGGCGACATTCAGCCCCAGTACCGTTTGTCGAGGACGGAGAGCCTTCCGCCGGCGAAGAAGACGAATCCAGACGTTGTGGGGGCGTCGATAACGGTCCTAGTGATCGCCCAACTCTACATTGCTTCACTGTGGAGGAGTGTATTCTTGCGGCCCACGAACACCAAGCAATGATTAGCTGCGAAGAACATGGCACGATTATGCTCGCAGACATCGCACCGGATGCGGTAAGAAAATGAATTCATAGTTACTATGCATGAGAAGGGCAGCAAAAGTTATAGACACAGTGGGTAAATTAAGAACAAACAAGTTTACAGCAAAACCGCGTGATAGATAGGAAAGACAACGGCCAATATTGAGGACAAGAAATATGGATAACGATTTCAGAATGTGTTTATTGTCTTTCTAAAATAATCGCGCTAAAATATCGATTCCCCTTAGTCGCATGAGTAGTCTATAGATGATGCTGAGCTACTGTCGACCCTTTAACATGGTTCATCTGCATGAGGTGGACGCTATAATAGACGAATATCATTTGTGCCAAGTTGTGTGCTTACTAGTATTATGTGCCATCCTATCGCAGTTATAGGTTATACTGCCAGTGTGTAGCATTTCCGAGTATAGCACACATGTGATGTGCCTGAAAGGTCAGTGTTCTGTGTTAAGGACTACGTTGTCTGACGTATTCATCATGATATCTAATGCAAACTGCAATTGCTACTAGTTAAATACAATATAAAAGTCTACGAAAAAAAAGGATTATGCATTGGCAACTATATCAACAGATTAAAGGGGCAAAAAAATCCACACCACCAAGGACACATTCAACGTCATTTATAAATATTTATAGTTATGAAACCGATTAGTTACCTCAATCAGACTAGAAAACTAGCGCTGTTTAAAAGAGAAAGGGCAAACATTAAAACGCTTAATAATAATAGTAATAACAAGTGTGCTTCATTTGCGTTGGACGTATAGTTTAGTTGCACGATTTATTATATGAATGTTTTTATCAGTATTTAGGCTACTGCACAAGCAATAGGTAATGCCCTCCATAGAAAAATGTTGTTTATACGTACGTTCGATGCCGCATTCACTTTAATTAATTAACAGATGATACTGGGAGCTATTAACAAGGAGTAATATCTAACAGCGTAAATAAAGATTATATAAACCAATCGTTCTCAAAATATGCGAACTAGCCCATATTAGTGTGATGAAATCTAGATGACGGCCCACGACAATATGGTTCAGTCCAGTTGCCATTGAATAAGGATGAGTGATGAGAAACTTTTCACAGATATTTCTTGGTCGCCTGAGTTTTGTCCTATTGGAGCCTTATATGATCTTTGGCGTCTGGGCGCATAAACAGATATCCTCATTCCTTTTTGCACAATGTTGCCGACGTGTATCCGTGTCTTCCGGCGGGAAACTGCTCTATACTTCACTAATTTAAGGACGTCCACTTTATGCACCGAAGCCTTGCAGTAAGGAACCACCAGCAATGCTATTCCTTTACCCTAAACCAAGAGATACAGTTTCACTCACAGTTCAGAGAGAAAAACTAGCTAATCTTGTACAGAACTTTAATACAATCTTACTTAACCTAATACGTGTATGCGTGTTAGTTGAGATTTATTTATAACTATTCTTAGAATTCAATCGTTGTTTGACAGGAAATGAAGTGTAAATACTAAATCCATCTGAATTAACTTCTTTTAAACTATTCACTATTTAAAAACAATGTGAGATGAAGCAATTGTTCGGAAATTTATAATACAAATGCACCCTTGACCATGGCAGAGTACATTAGAGTTTTTTTTTCAAAAAATATCAAGTTTCATAATTATCGAAATTGCTGTTATAGTTGAAAAAACAACTTTAAGTTTCGTTAGTCCGGTAAAAAGATTGAAGCCCCCTCCCAGAGCGTTTAGACTGCTGTATATCCTGAGTGTCCGCCACAGGTGCAAAGAAAGTAACAACGATGGGAAAGAAATCCCAGTGAATTTGAAAACAAGATAATTACGATATATATTAGAAAATTTGTTTTAGCGACGAGGCTTATAGACACGTTTTTTAAACGGAATTTGCAGTAACAACGTTAGTAGCAATTTAATAATTAAGCAATAAGTTAACGATAAAACATTGCTTTCATCGATATTTTGATTAAGCAAAAGGCTTCATATCCTTAAAACACTTTTGATGTTTCTGTTTTAATGTTTCAATGTGATTCTGTACAAACGCCAAGTTTTCGATAAAACTATCTGGGCCGGCTTTTGTTACTGCATTCAGGCCTTGGACAGATGCAAATCGTCCGGTTTGTAGCTGCAGGAATCGCTTCTCCAAAAACTTTCAGATGTGAGATTTTCTGCACCTTGTAAATCTTCTCCGAGTCAGGTTTGCTATCCAGTTAACCCTACATGAAGATAGTTAGATATGTCGAGTAGCTAATTGAACGCAGTCACCTCCCTTCGGCCTTACGCTTCCTGTTCCCTTTCACCCAGTTCTTCCTTGCTTTTCTCTCGATTTTGTACATCAATATGTACTGAATCAGGCCATTGAACGACCCACCTTGATCTAGTGGAGGGATGCAACTTAAAGGGGGTAACACTGTGATGGTAGTTTATGGAAGCCAAGAATACGGGGGACCATACGAGAACTCATTCATGTGCTAATTTACTACCAAACCTCAATGCGCAAGGTTGACTACTAGTATAGGGTGAACCTTTGACATTTTTTTGATCTTAGTGAAACCACAACAGCAACTGCCATTTTGCTATACAGGGAAAACAATGTCTAAAGAGGGTTATGTTTAGCTTTTGCATCCAATTAGAAACATGTGCTGGCGAACGGAAAAACAGGAGACGGTACTAGAGTCTAAGGAAGGTTCGTCTCAAAAGAGAAAAATGCTGCTTTACCATAGAACTTGACATCTGGGGTAAGCTCTCTATGAGATTATTAACGCTAGAGACACTTAATAAAGTGCGCAATACTCAACGAGGCTTTCTAATTATGACATGATGTAAGTTATCTTGGGTCAACTTTACGATTAGCACTGGTTGTTCGTTTTAACTTTAGTGATAGCCGGTGGACAAGAGATTTGTAGCGTGATCTTTTGGCGCGGAACCTCAAACCTAAAAGTAAAAAATACTGAATAGATTAACCGTTAACTTATATTGTGTAAAAAGAAAACAACAATTTGTTAATAGAACCTATCTGGATTACGATTTTCGTGTGACTGCGGCAGGCCCAAATAAGTTATAGATGAAGGAAATTAGAATCAATTTTTAGAGGAATGATCGTGGTAATTCAAGTAGGATAATTATCGTACTACGAAATGCCAATAGGGAATTAGTTGGTCTACTAGCGAAATTACTGTTTAGCACTTCGCAGTCGAGAAATATCAGTGAGTTATCGTATCCTGCACAGATTACATCTTTCGCCGAGATTACGAGAGAGAGACCGACGTATGTGATCGGACGCAACTCATGAAAGTTACATGTGAATCAAATGAACTTTACCCTCACGCCACCTTGCGCCAAAGTAAAGGGTATAGTTGGCCGATTTGTCCAGCTTCAGAGTCACAGCCTTTCACGCGTGGCGCAGTCGGTACGAATCTAATAGGGCACGACATAGAGCGAAACAGCTCTTATCGTCTTCTCTCAATAGATGGCCAGCGGCGAAGATAAGCCTAGTAAGAGAAAGGTCTCCATGGGACAGGCGTATTGGATACTAGGAACCCACCGTATAGTACAAATGATTATCCTTGTAATGGTAAGTGGTATCCTTGAGTACGATGGTAAATGAATAATAGTAATGAGAATATAGAACTATTATTATGGATCTTTTGCTTTTATTTTATTTATTTAGAAGATTTATATAGAATCCTTGTTTTTGTGATTAAGGTAAGGACAAAAATCCATCGCTAAATTTTCTGACGGATAACAATATACATATACATTAGCAAAATAAAGTAATATATATATATATATATATATATATATATATATATATATATGGTAATGATTTTCCAAGATACTTCAGTGTTCCGCGACATAAATATAAAAGGGTATGGCATAGTACTGAAAACTGAAGGTATACCTTTGCAAGATGACGTTTTCAGATTACGTATTGCAGCATTAGGCACGACATGACATTGCAGAAAACCTTTCTGAAAGCTGGTCAAAAGCCCTATATAAGCGCAAACGTGGCCATTTAAGAGACATACTACTCTATGCTAACAATAAACATCTAGTATGATGTGCGGGAAATTTCAATTATTTACATGTACTAATGTAAATAATCGTAATGTCATTTTTATGACACGCATATTGTAGCAACGGTATAAGCATCCTGTTTTCTTAAATTAACAAATTCCGCTCACAGCTTTGCGGATTGCATGGACTGAGAGAAACACTTATTATACGTGGGTTTTTCACCAGAACTTTGTTGTTCGTTATTGAGCTGCCTATGACACAGAGGAATAATTGAATTTACGATGTGGACGGTCTTCGTTCGGACGTTTGTCCTCTACACACATACTGGGTGTATGATAAACTACCCTGCAGAGTAACTAGACCCGGGTCTGGCGGATTATGGTCAGCGAAGGGAAGAACTATCCTGATAGATCTCTGAGCGACTGCGGACCTGCAACTATTTAATCTTGTAAATCTGAGGATGTGAAGTGGATTTTGTTGAAGCATCATACATCAAAGTAACGTTAGACGTAACATAGTTATTTTAAATAACGAGTACAAAAAGAAAACATCTGTCGGACTAAAAATATTTTCACCTGATTTTCCCTAATAGCACACACGGTACAGACAAAACCTGAAATGAGAAATTTGGGTGTCTAAAATGATCATCATAATTCTATTGGAATACTTTTCAACATAGGAATTTCAATAGGTAGTAGGGAGCGAAATCTCTAAGGTATCTTATGACGATACCGTAACGGTAAAGCACGAACCGAAACGAGCTTTCGTGAATGCATTTATTGGTACCTGGATTGTATGGTCACTTTCCTGTATTCATCACGATCCTTGTAGCTATTATACAGCTATGCGTGTTATCAAGTTCGAATTTGTATGCTTCAGCAGCACGAGCTCGTTTGGAGATGCCTATTGCTTGCTCTACGCCGGTAGGCTGCAGAAAACAGACCTAGATCGGTTTGGTCCTGGCAAATGTTCAGCAGCAGTCACGGTAGCACCACCATTTTTTAGGAATGAAAATGAGAGCAGGGAGAAAAATAAAGTGAAAAGGACTGAAGACGTGAAACGTCAGACCGGACGCAAGATAAAGCCCGTGCGCAGAATCCTGTTCCCAGTAGAACCTACTAATGCCAATGATTTATATGCAATCCATTGAATATCCTTGTTAACTAACCACAATTTATGTTCTGATCAATTTACAGGTATTCATTGATATGAGCGGACGTTACCTGATAAACCCCGATGACATTAAACGGGGTAAGATGCTTGGCAGAGGCGCGTTCGGGTTCGTGTTCCGAGCTTCCATGCGAACAAAACTAGTGAGTGTGAATCGGATGATTTATTTGCAGGAGAGTTTTACGACAGATTTCCGATGTAGATGAGTACGATTTCCAATTACATAGAACTAGTTAATTTACGCTGCGAGAATCTAGCCAAAATCTACCTAGGACATTGTCGCATCCTATCTTTCGGTTTCCGCTTCTTTATAGGGCTACACCGATGTTGCCCTCAAGATGCTACAGCCTGTTGACCCTGGTTTCGGAGCGCGCCATAGCGACAGTATGGCTTATAAGGCAGCTTCATCAAAGTGGGTTCGAGATCCTCTGCAGTATGCTGCTAAAGCCTATTATACAGCTCGACAGGAACTGCTTGTTCTCCAGGCACTGACCCATCCGTGCATCGTTCCGCTAATCGGTAATGTTCAGCATATTAAAGCTATAATCTAGGTTGTAATGTTTCATTTTGGGGCAGACATGTTCAATTTATGATGCCCTTGTAAACCGTTTAAGCATCGAGCGGCACGTTATGAGTCGTTTCGAAGGGACTAGTCCTGATTACCAACCAATCTTTTAGTATTTGCTCAACAAAAATTCGTGTCTTTCTTGTAAATGGCAGATATTTTAAGTAGACATAGAGCTAATTATTAATTAGCGACATCGCGTTATCCATGACAATATTGTCGATGTAGATTGTATAGTCACCTGTAGCCGTACTTGTATATTGGCAGCTGATCTTGAACTAAGCGAAATTCAGTTTACCAACATCTAAGAAAACCAGGAAGACAGGTGTTCTAGCAACCTCGTCCTGCTTGCAGGTGTCTGTCCACGTCCACTTGCTCTTGTCCTAGCCTTGGCCCCTCGTGGAGCGCTTGACGCGATTCTTCGCGAGTACCGTCGGTGCGGAGTACGGGTGGAAGCCTTCGCCCTAAGAACTACAGCGCTACAAGTAGCACGAGCCCTGGAGTACTTGCACCAGCAGAGAATAATTTACAGGTTTGTACGACTAGAACTTACTTCTATTAACGAACTTGCAGTAATCCCTAATAGCCACAGCATCATACCGCTACAAGATGGATATTCGTGTTCCAAATGTGTCTAACGCCCTTCGGGAATAACTCATGAAATATCTGCCACAATGAAGTAGGTATTTACTAAGCTAGCCGGGTAGCTTAATACAGCATTATCTAACATATTGACATTCTGGTTAGGTAATTTCTAATATCCTCAAAGTAACGTTTATATCCTGTGAGATCGAGCGAAAATGGTGTGGATTTTGTGCTTTCGACGTGCAAAACCAGCAAGTAGCGCAGCATATGCGCCAACCTTGCTCACGATTGATTATTATTAGCGCGAACATATTATAAAAACAAACCCTTAATATTAATATAATAGAAGAATAACATCAATTAAAGTTACTACCATAAAATTTGGCGCCCACGTTTGTTTAATTCACGCTTATCAAGCCTGTTGCATTGGCGATATTCGAGATGTGTTAACGGACTAATTATATTCATTCAACTCACTCTTAAAATTAATTTGATAATTAACACTACTAATTTGCAAGAAACACATGTTTATTTCAGAAGAGTGTATGATTTGTGCGCTTCGGCGAGGTATACTTACCTTGTTCTTTATCTTTTTTGGTGTACGTTAGGGATCTAAAGAGCGAAAATGTACTTGTTTGGACGTTTCCAACTCCGACTCAGCTGGAGGGCCCCGTCCGGGTGAAGCTTGCTGACTATGGAATATCGCGAGCCGCCCTTCCGACCGGAACAAAAGGGTTCGGGGGTAAGTTCTATTTAAAGGCGCCATATTGCAATGCAAGTTGCGGATCCTGTGACTCTAGATCGAACGCATCGCGCTAGAACTAGCGCATTCTAACATTGCCCGTTAGCGTTTTCGCTGCTAATTAACGACACACGTTAAAATATATCCTTCAAACCGCAAGTGAGCGTGCCCGTAAATGGCTAGTGATGGACGTCGTCCAGCTATCCGGACCGCTAATTAGCAAAACTCTCACAAGATTTCTATTTACCGTTCGTACCTCCGTAAATCTAAGTACAACGAGTGAAATTGCGTTTCCTTTTATGTGTTTCCTATACCAATATCGTATAGCATCTCGTTTACCGTAACAATGACTATTTCTTTAAATATCACCAGCGGTAAATGCGCGATCCGCTGTGATTTTTTGAGCAGATATTGTCGACGCAATGAGGGACAGCGGCACTGTAGTGGCGTCACGTAAATAGGACAGCTAGTTTTTCTAATAGAAACCGACGCAATTGAGATTTCTGATCACCACACTTCAAACGTGTGCAATACAGCTAAAACGAAGCTAATGTACACGGTGTGCAGTTCATCCACATTAGCTTGCTAGTACAATAGTCCATTCTGGTTAATGCGCTCGTATTTGGTTGATTCACTTCACTGAGAAGTAGAAAAGCGTCAGTGAAGTCATCATACCTTACGTGTGAGTTCGACTTGATTTTAATAACAGTATTATCTATTTTTATTCTATTAACATTCGGGTATTTCTTTGAGGCTGCAAACTTCACTACGCATTATGACGCGACACAACCCCAACGGTTACAAAAGTTGCTGGTCATATTACGAGTTTATCGACTGCTGTCTTGTTTCGACTACTAGAACTTGCTTGTCAGCTCTCACAAAGTACAAGTTAATACGGTGTTGCAAGATTTAGAAAACTACAAAAGTGACGTACTCACATAAAAAAAGTTTACGAATGGCCATTTAACAAACGCTTTCAGGGATAACAACCACCGACATAAACATTTCAAATGTTTATAACACGAATAAGGTTATATTTTATAACCCTCCTTTGACGTTGATGTTGTTTCTTTTTTCGTCTGGTACGTGAAATTCTGCACGCTGAAGGCAAAATAAGAACAAGGTTACTTAACGGCATATGAGAGCAACGAACCTTTTACTTGCGCTGTTAAAGGCCCTTATATCTAAAGCCCGAGGCGCACAATACTTGTAGGTTGGATGTTCGGACAGATCCCATGCCAGCTCCATTGACTACTTGTGTTCATAATACAAGGGGATGTTTTTTACTGGAAACTCGAAGTCAGTTAGTATGGACACACATACAGAAATTAAGCAACATAAATTATACCCGACTCGTGAAGTTGAAGCTGAATATGTGAAGGTAAAAAGTAATATGTGAGGTGGTGCGGTCTTACCTCTACTTTCGGCAGCGTTATGTCTCCTGACGGTTGTAGGGAAGTTAGCGTCAACTGTGAGCAGCCAGAAAGACCTGGTCAGGAGCACAATTCTTTAGTTCATCGACGGGGCATAATGAGCCAACTTGAGACAAACTTTGACGCCCCCTCTGGAAATTTACCCTGAAACAGAGGTTAGACGCATGGTAAACGTGGCGCAGATAAATTTGAGGTCAAATGCCGAATTTATTGACCTTCATGAATTTGTTTCTCCTCTCAGTGTGTAACCAGCCCAGGGGTAGGTTCGACCCGAGGGATTTTAAGTCCAAATAGTACATTCTGTGCGCTATTAAGGCTGTATGTAAATTTCAAGTAGCGTTGTTTTACAGTATAAAAATCTTTTGTCTCAACGAAAAAGGGGAAATACCACTGTACTATTGTCTTTGTTTGTTTACCCAGGCAGCATATTAAGATCATTAAAATGGTTCTCTACTTTGGTTGAGCCTCAGAAATGGTATAGCGTTAGGGGTGCAAGACAAATTGTTGTAATTAGTACCTACTGTGTTGTGATGTCTATCAGAATACGAATGGCGAGGTTCGCTCGTGAGGTGGCAATAACTGCCAGGGCTTCGGTAAGTGGTAAAACCGAAAAAGAGGCCGAATTGTATTATAAGCACCTGTTCAGCTTTGTGTTAAAGCTGCTAACGAACTTTGCTATTGACTTCTTGTTTAAGGACGATGTTGCTTTAATCCACTGACGATATTAAGACTAAAGAAATAAAGCGGAGACGCCGAAGATGCGAACGTATAACGAAAATTCAACTGAAGCACCTCTTAATGAAGAAGGTGATACGTTGGTCGGAATGAGTGGGGGCTCTAGAAAATAAATAATAGAGTTAAGTACAGTTAGATACTCATTGAAAGAACGTATTTTTCTGTAGATTTTGCGAAGTTATTTACGCTAGGCGCAAAAATGTTTTCAGCGTCAACCCTTCGACCATACTGTTTACGTTTAAAGTCGTTTAATGGTTAACGTATCTCCTCATGACGTTTCCTCTTTTTAGAACGTTATCATTTCAAAAATTGATCGCAGCCATTGTGGATGGGAAATGCTTAGCTGATATCGCTATATTTCATCATCTATAGGTAAAATGCTGGGGGGTCATTGGACCAACGGCTTGCTCTCTTCTCGAAGTTCACAAGTATAATACTAATAATGGAGCAGGTGTTCGCAATCTAAACATTTTTTAAAGCGTCCAATATTAACTTGACTGTATCTAAATGAACTAATTACTAACGATAGCTGTAAGATAATAGTATAAACTTTTTCTAACCTAGCTCTGAGTTTTTTTTTTTATACCACAGTATGTTTACATATCTGCGCTGGTCTTTCTTTCAAAGTGTTCTTAAACGAGGTACATCTGTCTCTTTTTTTCAAAGGACGTCTATTTTGTTTTCCCCTCGAGAAGGTTACAGCTTGACCGCAATGCGCTGAGCCAGACAGCTGGGTTGTAGGGCGAAAGAGACCATACAAATAGACGGAACGCTGCTTTTGATAGATTTAGCTTATTCTTCGCAAACTTTCTCATACGATTCCTTACATGATCTAAATAAATATTTTGGGTTTGTTAATTAACAATCCAGGATATCTGCGTCCGGCTGATGTCAGACCTTCGATAAATATTACAGGATTGGTTGTGCCCATAAATGAGCTTTATGCTTTCATTATCCTATTACGCCTGGGGCCGACATTTGCAGCAAGAGAAGTATTCCAGATAGAATTGTGCCATTTTTTTACAGTGTACCCGAATGGCTGGTGCTCGTTCTGTGGCTTTCTTAGTACTGTTGCTGTTAATAACTTCATCTCAGTCTCACTACTTATAGTGAGGCACAAAGAACGGTGCGTTTTAGTGCGCGTTGTTTCCTTTTTGGGCGATGACGTCACGAATAGCTGGAGGGCATGGAACTACTACTAGTCACGCAGACAAACGCGTACAGGGACGTATGACTTAGCAGCTGGCGAATGGCGGATAGGAACTGCAAAAATAGCCTAGTGGTTCTCTGCCAAGCCGTACTACGATGGGACATGCGCCGGTCCAAACCTGGGCACTCGACGCCTGTGGTACGCAAGCAACGCTCACTAAGCGCCCACCAAGCGCACTGAAAAGAGCCGGCTTAACTAAGATTTTCTGGCGTGCGGCCAAAAGAAAATGACATTCAAGATGTGTTTCGTTATCAAAAAGCGAGTAAACTTCTTAACCGTGCACACGTTAAAAGCACCCAGGTCATAATAGGCTGTAGATATCCGTAGAATAGGATTTTTGTATTTTTGGCGTCTGCGTATTATTTATTGCTTTCTATTCATTGTCATTATATTGTAACGAATTCCAACTTTTCTCAGAGTTATTATAGATATAGAAATATAGATATTATAGAGATATAGAAATGTGGAAATTCTGTAGTAGTATAATAAGAAAATCGCAAATGACCATTGCTACTGATTTTTTTGCACCTGACCTGAACTGAAGGTGGCCATTCTAAGAACACTTTTATTAGGGCGTTGATATTAGTTATTCTTAGTGTATAAATGAGATAAGTACGACCAGAGCTAACATTCTGCGCCCGATGTTGTTCACGAACGCGATGGACTCTCTATTTCTAATTTCTAAAAATCAGTCGAGCTCAACGCCGTTATTCTAATGCATGTGCTTATAGATCGATTGATTGTACAGTCTTGTAGCATGCTGCTGATGCTAAGTATAGAGAAGTGGCTTGTATACAAGTCTGTACGTGAGAAAATACCTGTAATTGGTGCCACCCTTTGTACCCGTACTTCAGGTACTGAAGGCTTTATGGCACCGGAAATTGTTCGCCACAATGGCGAAGAAGAGTACACCGAAAGAGTCGATTGCTTCTCATTCGGGATGTTTCTTTACGAACTTGTGGCTTTAAGGCCACCGTTTGAAGGCAGCGACTGCGTCAAGGATCACATCCTGGATGGAGGACGACCAATGTTAAGCCACCGGGTAAGTGACGAATTTGTTATGAGAAAACCGATCGTGCTAGTTTATTTCATTGTTGTTACCGCGATGAAGTGCTACCTGTTTTCATTGCTGCAGCTCCGTTCTTCAGTTTTTATGATTAGTATTTACTATTAAACAAACAGTTTTTATTGATTTTAAAATGCATTAACCATTCGTCAGCTTTACTGCCGATACGCCTTTCTTATTTAGATATAATTGTATTAGATACGATAGCTTGATTCGTGAACTTCATCCGACCCAATCACTATATAAAGTGGCGTGTTTTACATTTTTTAGTGCAGCATTTTCCACCGAGGACTCTATAACTGACAGCAGAGTTCGAAAGAGGCTTGCTAGGTTTAAAGGTAACATCTTAAACCTGGAAAATCGGTTGATGAGGCCCAACGAAAAACACGGTCGAAAGTTCGAAGAAAAACAGCCATCAAACAGCTTTGGAGTTTGTTGAGAAGCTCGGATGAGTATCTAATCTTGCCGGTTATCTAAATCTGTAAGCTTTAATCAGACTGAAAGGCACTGTGACTTCACAATTTGAGGCAAAAGCCCTATGCAGTACCGCTTCTCCTCACAGCCCCACAGCGTTTCGGCGACACAAAGCCGGCGTTACCGCAATGACAGGCTCCTACACAGAATTGTTACGGGTGACTGGAACTGGTATACCTTCGTCGGTATGAGGCAAAGGAATAGTCTGCATCAAGGGATACACCTGAACCCAGAGTTGAGCCAGATATCTCAATCCGGGAAAAACATAATTTGACCTCTATGGAACTGGAAGGGTTTTGCACACTGGAATATATGGAGAGATGTAAGGAGGTGGACAGGAACCTGTACACAGCTAGTCAACGAAATAAGACTTGTAGATAAAGATAAGTCATCCATCGGTAAAACTGCAAGCCACAGATTATAGAGGTCGCTGAGGTCGTCTTGTCAGAGCCTGAATAAAATATATCTGTGCCCATGGGATTATCCAGATCTCGCGTTAACGAAAAAATACTATATCAGGTTATTGCTAGAGGCAGTTTGTAACCAAACGTTTGGCATTGAAGATGGTTTCAAAAATTTCGTGAAAACAAAATTCTTGGATATCGAATCTGAACATTTTTAATAGATAGAATAAAAAGTGGTTGAAACGCTCGAGCAGGTCGTAAGAAGTGAGGGCGAATCCTACTAAATTAATTTGTTACTATAATTTGGGTAAAATGCTCTTTTTCATTAGTACAAAAGACGGATATTACTTATGCACCAACGTAACATACTGCAAACGCTAGCGGCCATAAAGTACAATAACTTCATACCTTAGTACTTGCTCATTAATTCATTATAATTAGTACCTCTATTTGAACTAGCTTTCGACTATGAAGTTGCGGCTTGCGGGTAATTACGTATTTTAATGACTTTTTTCTATTATCTTTCTTTCTAAAGAGCAGTGAGGGAAACAAGGAGTCAACTACAGCACAAACGGTCGACGCACATATTCACTGGCCATGCGCCAATACGGGTAGCAGATTCGTTCTAGGCATACGAGTGGTTTTATACGAAACTCATAAGATTCACACATTTCTTTTTAATCAGTGTGCTCTTAGAACCCATTTATAAAGCTTGTGTGGGATCGCGGAATGGGACCTAGTGGATTCATAACGAAAACAACTTAGCAAAATACCTTTCGGTACTGGGTTTGCATTCGCGTAAATAGGCATGCTATTACGCACGAGAAGAGCCAGCAAAGCCAATGTGCCGCCTGCTTAGTTTCTAAGCTCTAAATTACATGCTCCTAGTAGCAGGACCTTGGTGAATATTTGATATCCTCCCCGCTTCTTTTCTCTCTGCTGCGGTGCCTGTGCCCAGCGGGCGCGGAGAAGACCGTTGTGGGCGCTCCGCGAGAGTGGCCCGGAACGGGACTCCTGTTTGAGCAGCAGGGGGGCATCCAATAGAAACTGTGGTAGTAGCAGCACCACCACTACCAAAACATACATAGGGGTAAGTAAGATCCTATTCGTTTAAGTTTCTTTACCCGCACAATCCCAGACGCTCCTGTAACCCTGCTGGAGTGCCTCGCTTATGTAGCAGTTTAGTCCTTGAGGTCGGGCCGATGCACTCCGCTTACTCCCTCCACTTGTAGAAGAACTGCTAGCACGTCAGTGCGAAGCAGTTTGTCAGCCGGGAGAATTGAAGGCAAGTCGTAGGCTCTACGGGGAGTTTTTCAGGGCGGAACGGAGCTTGCTTGGTGGAAAGCGATTGATCTTCGCTGTGGGAACATCAGATAGTTCAAAGCGTTTTCTGCTTGTAGAACACGCACGAATTAGGCGACTACGACACCGAAGTAGCTCGTGATGATAATTACCTAATAGGAATCTTGCTTTTTTTGTGCTTACTAACTTGCGTGAGGTCCTCGGACTTTATGAAAATTGTTCGATGCAGACATCACATGGCGAACTTTACTGCATTGCTCAGGCTGAATACTCTGACTATTTCCATTTGAATTGTTTTATGAGTCAGGCACGCATGCCGGCTCTGTTATAGGAGTCTGCGTGATATGGCATTGACATGCTGTACATGGTGCATTATAAGGCTGACGCTGTGATTTGACAGCTTTCAAAGTAGATCTTTTTTATGTGCCAGAGTGCGGACAGTTCAGCGGAATAAGGTAAACGTCCCTAAAGAGCTTTTCTTCACTTGGCGTGTGCAGTGCAAACGCTTTTTGTTTAAGCTAGCCTTTGGTTTAAGCCGCCGAGCTCAGGCACGCTCAGCTCGAGAGACTGAACGTCCTTTCGTTCAAACGTGGAACTCACTGATAGAGGTTGTCAGGTTCCTTCTCTAGAGGGAACTTTACCTTACAGGATTTACAGGTATGACCAAAAACAATCAAGGCCCAATAATTAGTTATATGGTTTACGTGATCTTTTTTGACTATCCACGTCAGTTTAATTAGTTGAGTGAAGAGACAAAATGGCAGATCATATTTATGTAGATTATATTAAAATAACATAGAACTAATTCTAGAAACAACGTAAATGATGTACACGTGTCTTTGCAATACCGACATGTCAGGATGCACCAGTGCGTCTATCTAGAGTGAGCCAGACGATTGCGCATAGCCGATGAGATAACACAAACATATTTGTGATTACACAGACGCATTTATATGGCCATGTAGATCTGTGGATTCAACCAGCAAAAATGGTGTATTTGCGCGCAATTTGGATGCACATTTTTTGGACTTCTGCAAAATTGTTTTCAAAGGTGCTTTCCTTTCATGAATAATTCAATCCTACACCTTTGTTTTCTGGGGTTTGGTAGTAGTTCTGCACCCAGCGACCAAAAAAATGAGTTGGTAAGCTTTACGATAAAAGGCGAATGACGCAACGTTAGATCGCAGCACGCAGCAGTGTCACCGAACGCTCTACACGAAACCCGCGATTATCTATGCGCGTTGTTATGTATGTAGCGTCGTATCTTATACTGGTAGCACTGACGTTACGATGCAGTCATAGTCTGTTACTTTGTGCCAGCACAGCTACAGAAAAACGGTCAGACGCACCACGTTTCGAGGCGTTTTGGATTGTCTGGCTTTCCGGATTGGTCTCGGCATCCCTTTGCTAGATGCTTACCTAGCTGTGTAACACACTTGGGACGTGCGTTCCTGTGGTAGGCTGCTGTAAGCCTATGTATGTCTCGGACTCCCAATGTTCAGGAAAGAGGACAGAAGGCCGACCGACTACGCAGATAGCTCTGATGAGGGACGATGAGGTTAGAGCCACCAGTTACCCGCACAGAGTCGCTCATGACCTACCGATGCTGCTCGTTCCGCTTTTTGTAAACACTGGCGCTCGTAGTCGAGTCGCCTAACTACTAGGTCGCTGGTAGGAGCCATGTCTAAATCTAAATGAAGACAAGTTTGTTCATGTGGCAACGGTAGAGATTCTCAGCAAGCTTCGGTCTGCTGCATGTTGGCCAACAGCAGTATTCTCGCATTGCGCACATACCGGCGTAGTTTACCACAACACACATGTTACTTCAGGACTACGACGACGTTCGTAGGACTGGTAGGACACGTCTCGGAGACCGCGATCATCGGTGCTATGGTTGGAAGTTTAGACTTACGACAAGCGTGTACAAATATAGCCACGGCAGTCAGACCCACGGGTGGACAGGCAAAAAACAACCTAGCTAGGTGGGCAGGAGCACTTCTTCCTTTTGTATAGCACTGCCAACCATCTCTGTTTCGTTCCGCGCACACTCTGTTCCGACTGCTATGATAGAAGAGATAAAGGGGGACCGGCATCCATACACAGTGTATACACACCATTCTTTAAACTAATAACATTCAGGAGGAAGGTTTAATCTTACACCTCCAAACAGATAGTCAGAGGTATTCCAGTGGCTCCGAGCGGGTCATTTTCATAATGCTGTGCAGTTTCCTCTTTTTCATCCTTTCCTCTGGGGAAAATCGTGGCGTATGGTGTGTTTATGGGGATGTGTCTACACGTGAGTCTGTACATGTAGAGGGTGTTCGTTAGACGAGGAAAAATATGTTATCATATTCCTTGAGGAAAGCAACGGGGTAAATTTCCGAGAGGCTGCCACTACTCCGCAGTTTCCGGCCAGATTCTCCAGAATTGACATTGTTTAGTCTGAAATTGAGTTTGAACTTACACGTTTAGATGCAAGCGTATGTCTCTCGTCAAGTTTGGCACAAGGAAAAAGCTAAAAGGGGACAGAATTTCATTTTGTAATATGTGATATGTTATAGTTACATATAGATTTGAGGCGTTTGTTTAAGCAACTTACATGCCAGCGCAGAGCCACCTAAAGTTACGGGTTAAATTGCTTGGCAGCTGCGTGTTGTTTGGATCCGGTTGGCCCCGAAGTTTTCGAGACTAGGTAAATGCTAGAAGTTCTTAGTTATGTAATCATAAGAATGTCATTAAGACTACTTAGTGATATGCTCGTTAAGACCTACATCTAATTTATTAATTCAAAATTATGAAACTCAGAGTCTTCTTTAGACAGCTTTCTTTTTCTAATATGGGTAATGCAAAATCGGCATGATTGAACCAGATACGTATTAGCTACTAGCAGTAATCTGGGCGATTGTGCGAGTGGTTTGTTAGCATCCGATAATCTCTATTTATTTATTATTATTAAAAAAAACTTCGTCTGTGAAAATGTAAAGCTTGATTTATTCGTTTAGTTTATCCGCTCGGGAGCAACATTTTTACCTTTGTGATCTTTGCTTCGATAGCGACATAACTACAGAGAGCAGCTATGCTAAATATCGTTGTGTTTCTTTTCAATTTTCGAAAATTTTGTAACTCGTTAGGAGGCGCTTTCTACCCCTGGGTACCAGTTGGACCTAATGACGAGGTCGTGGGCACAGCTACCAGCTGATCGACCTAGCGCGTCTCAGCTTGTCTCGATTGTAACAGCGCCCGAGTTCGGACACTTCCTCGATGCTGTATCGCTTAAGCACGATACGGTATCCGCGTGCGCCGTAGACAAAAGCCTTTGGATGGCGAGAGTGGACGGCAAGGCGCAGCTACTTACGAGCGATGGAGGCACCTGGGCACAACTTAAGGTTCGTCTAACAGTTAATAGCTACATACATGAAAAGAACCCATGTGGAAAATCTTTATGGATAGACCAGACATTGTCATGTTAGCAGATGTGACTAATAGTAACGTAGGTAAACAATACACTGTATGATATTTTAAGGAACTTGAGAGTAGCTTTATGAAATACATTTATTAGAGTAACGTCGAAAAGAAAAGCAAGTCCACTTTGAGCAGAATTTTAGATTGAGAGATTTTAGATTGGTTAAAAATTTTGGCGTTTTTTCAATTCTTTTTACCCTATATCGTGTAAAATTATAATTTTACACGATATAGGGTAAAAAGAATTCTCACTATTACATCTTTTCGCGTTCGTAATGAAATCTAGAGAGGTTTCCACCGTTGTAGGCTTTGTCAATGTTACGAAACTTTGTTTCCATTGTATTTATCCGATAGAAGGCAACATGGCACTAGTCGTTATCCTTTATAGATATCGTGCTGTTTGTTAACAATAGAAGGCTATAAATAAACAATAAACGTAGAAGTTAAAGCAATAACTAAATCTGATTGCTGAGTGCTATAGCCCGATATTCAGATGAGACGTCCGCGACATAGAGCAGCTCCGTACCAACAACGCTTTTGTTATGTCGAGAACGTCTCTTTTAAATAACGTATTACAATACCAAACGGATTATAGTTACATATATATATATATATATATATACATTGTCGATACGTTATGTCTGTGCTCCCTGTGGGTTATTCTATACCATTTACAAATGAACTGAGTTAACGCCTGCACCGAACACCATCTATTCGTTCAACTAGTGCACATTGGTGATAACTGTAATTTATTTCTACAAGTAGAAAGGCGTCCATATCCACATTAGGCTATTTTACAAGTCGTTCGCCTACAAATGTATGCTGTATTGGGCATCGCCCTATATAAACACAGCAGTAAACATATTTTTTTGTTTGTGTAGTAGGATTTGTTATAACTATACGCTAAATGTGTAGATAAGCGATGTTCGTAAATACGATGTAAAACGCATTCGTGGGTTTGAACTAGGGTTTCGGTGCCATGTTGGTTGATCATTTTAAGGGAACTCATGTATTTTGCAGTTGTATAATATAGGCGTACATCAGTCCATGCAAGCCACTTTCGGCCGAATCCGCTGACAGTCCGATCGACCCATTGTAAGCTATTGATCCCAAATTCCCTATGAATATTTAGTTATCAAGGTGTTAAAGGAGAGAAAAGTGTATGGCCAGTTTTTGAAACTACCCGTTTGTGTAGCATAATAAATAGCGATATTTCGTACACGCATGTTGCGCATAGTCAAGAGCTGTGCATCAATAATCATATTCTCTACTTTGGACCTTTTTCTGTGTATTGTCTTGTGCTACTATTTCTTTTTTTGGGGATGTCAGGGGTTTCCTTAATCCAGAGAGCTTCATCCTGACTACATGCTTCATCATTGCAGTCTCTCTATGTTGCCGCCGCTTGCATTGCCTCAGTCTGCAGTCCTTCCTGTATAAGCCGAAGAAAGAGGATGGGTTTGAGACAGCAGGGGAATAGTGGGGTGTAATGCCACTATGACAGTACTCAAGGAAAGGCTGCTAATGAAAGTTGGCTGTGGCCATGCATCGGCAGCGCAAATACTTTAGGCACGATAGAGCGAAGTTGATGCTTGGAACGGAACAAGCTTAGGTCACATTTGTAGGACACAGCTGTACACTTACAGTATGCAAAAAAACAAGTACATGCGAACAGCGATCTTGCTGATAATAAATAATGCCACAGTTTCGCCGTTGCTGCGGCTTCAGTAGCTGTTATGGAGGCTATAGTGGTACCCTATAAGTCTTTGCAGCCCTGAACCGGGTTGGTTAACATTTTACTAAGTTAAACTTTACTGAGCACGCTTTACGTCGGCGAAAGTTTCTCGTACGCTCCAAATGAAACAGAAGAAGTCCAAAGAAGCAATGAAGATACACAGAGATGATTTGCTGTGACCAAATGTTCCTGGTTCGATCCGACGTACATTCTTTATGGATCATAATGAGACCCATTTCATCGTTGTATCTTAGCGTCTTGTCGTTGTATATATATATGTTTTCCTAAAAAGCCCTTTGACAATAAGATTAGCCCAAGCTATTTTCATGCATTAAAGCATTTAAAGCTCTACGATTTTACTAATTGTTGAAAGTTTTGTAGTCAGTGTACAATCGGTGTGGCAATTCTTTAGAAACCCGCGGAAAGTGTCGAGTGCCCGGCCGATGGTTCAGGAGGTATTAGAACATGTCAGGCAGGAAGACACAGCAAGTCGTATTCGTTCCGTTACTTCGTAGGTTACTATGCATGCCATCGCCGAACCCAATAGCATCCTAGAACTTCGGACCTGCTATTGTTCCAGGAAAAAAGCCTTTTTGGATACTATTGTATTTATAATAACCTTGAGTTTCAGGATGGGTCATAATGGCAAAGACCTCTACTAAGGTCCAAATCAACTTATTTGTTTAGTTATTCAGATATATGCTGTAAAATACATGAAATCATAAAGACTTGACAAATTAGACTAGTACAGTTGTAATTATTGGTTAAAAAAAATCTGGTATGTTCGGAGAGATGATTAGAGGAGAGAGTTAGCCTATATATTATATTACGTACCTACTAAAGTCACTCCATTACAACAACGGCGGCATTACTTAAATATGCCTGTGCTAGTGGTCTTCACGTTGAAGATCTAAGCGCAACAAACTAATCTCTTTCTCACATCTTCATACGGATATTGTTTATAACACGAAATGTAAACAATACGGTAAAATTTCTCAACTGATAAACCCAACGCGTTGTGGGCAGGCCTGGTTGCCGTACAAGCGTTTTTCTTCGCTCAAGACTCTTTGTGGACAAAAGGGCCTAAAGGAAAGAGTATCCGCGGCAGCTGGTTTGCGCAGAGCTTGTTACTTCATATTGCAGTAGGCAGCTTTCACTAATCTTGACAGTCGTAAGCTAGTTTCAATGTCGACAGTGTTTCTATATTAGTTGGTGGATTGTTAAGCAGGCGTTAATAGACGGGCAGAACAAAGCGGAAACCCCCTCAAAATGACGGGCCCGGGATACCGTACCGTATCTGAGAAACCTCCCAGAGGCTTGTCGTATCTAAACAACTTTGGAGTCAGATAAACGTTTTTAAAAGTAACCAAAAGCACTAATAGCTAGCGTAGTGCACTGGGTTCCTTCTTCCCAATATCGGCATGTACAGTTGCGCTCATTGAATGGGTTGCTTGAATTCAAATGGTGGTCAGATTAGTGTTTTCGTAATATGACATAATCTGCTGGAAACCACTTAATTTGTTAAATTAGAAAATAATCCCATTCGATGCTTTTGAAGTCACCTTATGTCACTGGTGATAATGCATCGGTATTTTAATAGAAAGGTAAGCACGTATGTGTCCTGCTCTCAGTGGAAAAGAGCCTGTTGTTTCTCTCTTCTTCCACTTAATCTGTGCTTTCATGCGGGTCTTATTTGTGCTCTGCAAGCCTCTATGCGAGTTTCGATACCCCCAAGAAAGTGCTAAGCTGCGTGCATCAGCCTTCTAAACAACGGACCTGATTGCTCAAAACATTTCTGACAATTATTATAAAAGTCGGACTCTGTGGGTGGCTTGGCACGCAACGTACCCATCCATACCTGCGGCACTAGACTGCACCCTATTATTAGAAAACTAAAAGATCTTCAGAGTTTTGAATGTTCTTCATTCTCTGCAGTGTAAGCGCGTGTAACAAGCTTCTGTTCTTTCACGGCTGCGTTTGCCCAACGCCTCCGCCTTCACAGCTCTTACAGATTTTCCCTAGTGCATATTCCTGTTTGTCCCGTCTAGGAGTGCCTTCTTGCATGAGTCGTAAGATGTTTTCCCCTGTGTTTTTTAACAGATCTACCAGCTGTCCGATATTTGCCTGGCCACTGATAATAAACCCCGGTTTGAAGGCTCATTAAAAAAAAGTGGGCTGCACAGTGGTATATTCGTCATTTCGTCTAAGGCAGTAATGAGAAATTTCACCACGATGCGCATACGATCGGCGAACGCCATTTTTTTTTGTGTTACGTAGTCAGTAGTGACGTAACTGATAGTTACCTTAAAATTTGATTATCGACATTTCTAATGGGTTAGTAGCTTTATGATTATAGTTGCCTGAGCACAAACTGATTGAAAAATCGCCTAGTACCTTCCGCTTAGAAGCACGTTGCAGAATGCTTATTTGATGGTTCTGCCGTTTGTCCTATGAATGAGTCCTCTATAGATATATCTCAAGGGAACACGGTATCTTACGTTATTAGCGAAAGTGCAAATGAGGTACCTAATGCAGTACTGCGAGGAAGTTGTATCTCGGGTATCTGTAAGCAACTTATTATGAATTTTATGCTCTACATGTTGCTATCTGGAGTAGACAAATATAAATACTGTGCAAAATGTGTAATAACGTTTGTGTCGTGTTAATAATCACGATCTATACGGTGTGAGCAGACGCATTTTTCATGCAACAAAATTGGTCGATCTCAGCAGATAAATATCCAAAGCATTAAATAGGCAAATAGCAAGGAACGAATCCCATGTTTACGTAAACCCTCACTCCAGCATTTAAAAAATAAAAATGTTTAGGGCACTCTTGACCGCCGAAAAAATGATCAAGGGCGTTGTGAAGAAATACAAATTAACAGTGGACAAACGAGACGAAATCAGGTGCTTAAACAAGGCTAACTGAAGATTTACATGGCAGCCATGTAAATGTCCTGGGTTCGATACGTGTTCGAGTACTACCTTACTGAAAGGCAATGCCGTTTCGTATTGGAACGCTGAGCTGCTTCTCGCGAGGTGCAGTTCACGCTAATTTCAGCTCTGCAGAGTAAACGATGGCCTAACCTGCCAGTGCAGTGAAAGGTTATCGTTAAAATTATCCATTGAACTTCGAGAAGAAAGTGACGTGAATTTTTCTCGAGTAAGCCCAGTTCTTTTACCCGATAGATCTTCAACAAATAATACTTTTTCTAGCAAATAGCTCGCGGTAAAGGTAGGATCTGAAAAGACGAAGAGTACAAAATGTTTTTTGTGGTACTCCCATGAAAACGCGATTGACTTTAGCTTCATACTTTCAGTATTTGTAAGGCCTTTTCTATGAGTGACGAATACAACGCAATATAACAGTATTTTTTGGAATGCGTTACATTAGTAACTAACATAAATATGTACATGCATGCACGTACTATAAGTGTGGCACGAAGTAGAAATATTTAAAGGTCCCTATTGAAATTAGCGTAATATTCTGTTTGCCACCGCTATTAATTCTAAGACAACACGATTGCTATTACGTCGTAGGCCATAGCATCCAGTTGCGACCTTAATGCTAACCTTGTGTATCCAAATACACAGTTCTACCTAATAGTCTATGAGGCTGAGCGCTACCATCTTGTACAGACAATTTTCTGCATTCGGACCCGTACGACTTCGCTCTTTGCAAATGAGGAGAAGTTACGTGGTTGCTACATCAGCTATGTTTTCCCAATTATCTTCCACTGATGCGAGTCATTTGCTCCATAGTCCTTTTTTTCCATTCGACCTTTGTTTTTTTTCGTTAGCATTGAAAATAGCGCAGAGTTACTTTTCCATCCCCCTAACCCCATACGACAGGGCACTAACACAGTGAAGTGGGCACGCGACTGCTTAGACAGCGTGGCTTCCCCGGAAAGGTCGACTCCGGTGCTCCGTCTTATCAAGAATCCATTTGATCAGCTATATGCCTGAATGAAACTGGCAAAACAGCGATCCTACGACATAGCAAAGAGAAAGTATTAGCAACGACGTAAAATTTGAACTGGTGACGGAACACTAGATAGTTGCGCATCGACTGCTCTTCAATGCTCCTAACAGTATCATTTTTGGTAGAATTATTGACGGGTTCGTGAAATTAATCTATAAATGACTAGATACTGGAGAACGAATATCCCGCAGGAGTTTCTATTCTGGGATTTTTTTACCTCAAAGCGGAGTGATTGAACGGCTCGTTTGTTTAGATGTACGTGAGACCGGCCGCTGTAAGCCTGTCGGTATATGTTAAGACATATTGAGTATTTCTAGAGACTTAGAGAGGAGAAACTAGACAAGCGTTAGTGCGTCGATACAGCGTGAAAATAGCAAAACGACAAATGTCATACGAAGCGTTTCCAAAAAGCCGTTGAACGAGTCGTACTTGACAGACTCTATGCACTTGACAATAAAAACCAGTTGTCAGCTACAGTGTTTGCTAGCTAAGTTCGGAGTACTCTCCCTTTCTAGATCCTAACTTTATGCAGACAGACAATCAGCTGGCAAACCAGTTGGATACTAGCACGACATTTGATAACTGACAATAGCTTTTGTCGGCATCGTTGCGACAATAATATTTGCTAGCGGTTGGTACCTCTCACAGCCTGTGGGGCAAAGCTCATAGTTGACAACACCGGTCGCAGGCCCCCAGGCTGTACCGCTATGTTACACCCATGTGTGAAGTATCTAGCAGGCCGCAAAGCTTTCTTTACCTTCGTATGTTCGCCAAATATTTTTTTGCTTGCGATTTTGCTTTTTGTAGAGGGGAGGATCACAAGTAATACATATGTTTCTAGAAAGTGAGAACTACTACCGCCTAAGCAGGAGACATTGTCGTTTTTATGGCCTGCTGATACATAAATGGACGCTGCATGTACATCGACACATAACGAAATTTCGAAAAGCCCTAGGTTTTGCGATATTTTTGGCTCAAATGGCACGCTTAATGACTACCCTTAATTGAGTATTTATCGGTGATAATGGAACTGTTGTAATAATGCACGGGAAAGCTTCACTTCCGGATAGTTCACACGCGAAGTTATTTTATGCTTAAATGAGTCATCTTCCCTTTATGTTTGTATAATTACAGGTGATTCCGATTGAGGTTGATTGTCAGATATCATCGTTGTGCTACGATGGCCTTTCCAACGTTTGGTTAGGTGACAATCGCTCTCGAATTCATGTCGTTGAGTAAGTTGTGTGTTCGAAACGGACATTTTTTTTCTAAATAAACACAGCAGATTTAATATTACCTGATCACTTTTGTTTATTGTAATGGGTCACTTTTATAGAGCACTATGTGTCGGTACACATTTCGCGATAAAAAAAAAACACTTTTTGAACAACTAGAAACACGTTGGTATCTGGCTGACACGCTCATTTTAACTGCGCATGCGCGGTGTGCATTTTTAGTAACACCGAAACGTAGCGAAAGTAATGAGATCTCAATTGTTTTTATTATAACCAATTCGTTTTAAAAGAGCTGTTTTTGATGATTCGAATTTTTTTTTCATATGTCTTATTTTTTTTAATATGCATATGTCTTAGTCATATGAAAAACACCAACATAAACTTACTACTGTAAGTAAGTGTTGGTGTTTTTCAAAAAAATAAAACTAAAATATACCGTCGGCAGAGACTAGACGAAGCCTGCGATTCGAACGCGCGCTTCTATACGAGTTACTTGGGGTTCATTCGAATTATCCACATGTCGACCGAATTGCATAACATAGGCCAGCTTGCCATTACCGCGCAATATCTTGGCCGGCACCGATCAACATGCATTCCTAATAACAGATTTCTGTAGGGAACCACCACGGAGTGAAAAATGGTGTATTTTTTTTATACTGGGCATTGCTTAAGCAGGGCAAGACGTTGATTGTTAGTGTCTCTGTGTAACCCAGTTGCATCGGGGTTGTTCATCAAAAAAAGCCTAACTAGCAAGGTCTGCTTAGCCTGCTTTACGACAACACTAGGCTACGTGCCGCGAAAGTGGTGAAGACTGACCTGCAAGAGTTTGGGTACCTTGTTTGTTCTTTGGATTTTGTGACAGCCTATTACCACTTCTTCCGTTTCGCGTCCATTAGCCAAGCGCTTAAAGCCTTTGCAAATAGGTAGCTTCTTGAAATTTAATAGAACAATTTTTTCAAAATTAAGCCCGCCAAATTTTTACTTGACACAAACTACTTCAGAGGTGTCAGTCGTGAACGATGGAAAAGACTACAGAACGGGCTAACATGACAGAACTGTATCATGTTAGTCCGTAACTAAGAAATTAGGCTTGTTTACGTCTAAGTTTAACTCAAGTTTCTCGTTACTATTATAACGCTGTTCCACGAAACAACTTTTCTCTACTAACCATTTCGGACATCGAATAAGCCTTAAAAAATAAAATATACATTTTATTTAGTAAAAAATGGTTGTCAATGCTGGATATTGTGCTCTTTTAGCATTCGTAGCCGCAGACTCAGCTTTTATCGATCGCATCAATCAATGTGATAGATGTACGCAAATGCAAGAAGACGAAAAATAGAGCGGAAGCTGACCAGAGTTGGCATTAGTAGTTCATTTTTTTTCTAATGAAAGCAAAATGATAGCTAAAATTATTTTTATTTATTCCTTTTATTGATTTACATACACTTTTATCCAGACCGAACTGTATGATTCTTTCCATGTTTCGAGGTTTAGGTCCGGTATATCGCCCTAAAACACTTTACCAAGCGGTTGGCTCCCAGCTATATAATTCTACTCAATTCGAGCCCTTGACTTTCGTTCAGGTACTTCCGATGTATTGCAAACGTATTCAAATAATTATTGTATTATTATCCCATGAGCAATCTAGAATAATTGAAAAAAGCTTTCAGTAATAACCTTCTATAAGATCCAATCACGAGTCATCGATTTTCTGATTATAGAACGGTTTTCGATGCTGACACTTTGTGGAAGCTGCCCACCGCATCCCACATTGCCCAACTCAGCACTTCATAAATATGTATTATATATAGATACTCATAGTTTGGCTGTCATAAAGTTGAATCTGACAATATTGTACGATCTTGTCATGTAATAGAATATTATCAATTAATAGGAAGATAAAATGTATCAATAACAGAACGAGAATTTAGGCGTCAGGCAACAAACTCTACCGAAAGTGGCTCGAGCAATCTGACTCAAGTTAAAAGTTCCGTGCTTAAGCATCGGGTTAAACGATTTGGTTTGTCTGACAGAACTTGTTACGTCGCAACTTTATAGCTACCCGATCGACCAGCTGAACTAGTTGTTATAGGAACCAGCAAAGATTATTTCGAAAAAGTCTAAAATCTCATGGCGTAAAGGCTTGCCGGTGCCAATTTAAAAATGCAAGACAATAGGAAGCAGCTATCATTATCCTGACGGCGTCCTGTCTCCCAGCGCCGCTCATGTTATTCAAGGCAAAACAGCTAGGATAATTCTTTCTGTCCTAACTTGCACAACCCCTTTCTTGTCATATTACAACATCGAACACCTCTTTTGATCAGCAACTGGGCTCCCTGGAGCGCGTAACGTGCGTCAGCTGCCAAGTTTGATTCGAGCGAGAGCCACTGGGTGAGACGCCCCTTTGAAAGTTGGATACTTCGTGTCGAATCGGCTTCCTGCTACCTCGCAAAGCCTTCGTTTTGTTTCTAGATAAAAGTTTCTAAATAATATACCTAATTTTGTTGATAATATTATACAGAATACGAGCCCAGTTATATACTTGTACACGACAGGTTAATTACTAATTATTCTATTAATGCTAATTATACTAAGCATTTATTTAATATATTTAGTAATAATATGTGTTGCTATTCCTTAACATTCCTCGTAGGGCCCACACATACCAGCGCACCCGTGTCCTCGAGGTGGCCTGTGATTCTGCGGTAGCACAGATCTCGCTTCATCAGATCTCTCGAAAGGCGGAGAGGTCAAAAAAGGGGAACGAGCATGTGAACGTGATGCTTTCTGCCGTTGTCACCGAGAAGAGACAGGTACGATAATAACAATAATACCACCATCTATTTCCTACTAGCTCTACTACAATGGCAGCAGTTGCAGCAAACGCGGCTACATCAGCAACTTAGACCACAAAGGTAAACAAGCTCAGTGCAACAACCACCCCCCACCCACATCCCAGCCCAGACCCACTTCTCACCCTTAACAACACATTGACCTATCGTTACCAAGCGATAGATACATTGGTTTCGTAGCCGGCTAGCTTTCCGGCCGAACGCCGCGGCCACTGCTACTCTGTCATTTTGCAATTTTTACAAAAAGTAACCTGCAGTAGGTACAAATAGACAAACAGAGAAAAAAAAAAAAACAATAGAACGAATGAAATATCGAATAGATCGACCTGAATGGCCCATGAGCCTATGGAAACGGTTTGGGAGCAGCGTCTTTTATTATTTTTAGTATTATGACTTCTATTATGTGGTTAACATAAGGCACAGGCTAAGTGCCCCTGCGAGCTCGCGTCAGTATGAACTTAAAGGCGCGAACTAATGAGGCGTGCATCTCTAGCACTGTCTAAAACAGATCATTTGAATCCGGAATAGTGCAATAGTAAACGCATCACAATTGTGAACCGGTGTCTGCAGCGGTGGCAACGTTTGATGCATGCATGCATAAGGGATAGCGGTGATTTTTTCAATTTTTTTTTGCTACTAGGTGTGGTGGACGTGCATTCGATCGTGCGAAATTCGCTCTCCGTATAAAAAGCCCGCGTGTATCGGGATGAAGATGGCCGCAAGCGACGATGTCGATGATAACGATGAAGAGAGCCAAGGCGATGAATGCCGGCTTGAAAGTAGTACATACACGGGTGGACAAACAAACTTCACTTTTGACGAGATTGAAAAACTTGGCCCAGTATTGAACACCAAGTTTGTGGAAACAAGCGATCCCGATGTGTGAGTATTAGCGATAGTTAACTTTTTAAAGAATTACTCATGACAAAAAGGTAAAAACTCAGACAGTGCGAGCTAGATATGATCCAACAACAGTTAGATCGATCCTAGCTTTACTAAATGGTATATATAATAAAACGTCAATTGAAGATAATTGCATAAGAGAAAATTATTGGAACAGGAAAGTATTGCTAGCGAAAAAAAAACTTTATTACAAGTCTATATATATATATATCCCGCTGCAGTATCTATCTTTATGTGTGTGTCATTTAAAAGTAGAGAAGATGTGTTAAAGTTGTTGTTGGAACGCCTTTTTGTAGACCTAAAACAGAGTGTGGTTAAGATGAATGCAATAATTTGTTACCTCATATAATTTTGTTACGATAAGGGTACAAACGCTGTCCAAGTCCGTCGAAGAGTTGTACTACGCTGCCTATTATAGCCAGGACGCATAATTGAACCAAAAAAAAAAAAGTGTTGCGCACATAATTGCTATATGTGCCTGTGGGCTTTACATTTTTACCTAAGGCACTTGCGAAATTTTATCACGTGACTTATGACATACTTCTGTAGTCAGTAAGTGAGAAAAAAGATGTCCGTGTTAAAGTTGAAGTCTACCTTTCTCAGAGCAAAGTATATGATCAGGAGTGATGTTGTTTATCGACAATTTCATGAGCTAGTAGATAGCTAACGTTACAAGCACAACCCAGTGAAAAGTGTTTCAGCTGGCCAAACTTTGTCCCAGCTGTTGTTTTTGTCTAGACTTGCCATTCTGTTCCTCCACGAGATTACACAACGGCAATTCGGCCATCTTGTTTGCCAGCCTAGTCGTCATCGCCTTATTCCGCTCGGTGATATTATCTTATGAATATGCTTGTTTGCATCCGGCGGAAGCGCCCATAAGACGATCGTTGATAAGAAGTAAGAGACAGCTGGACGAAGAGGTAGAGACGTTCCCGTCCGTACCGCATATACCTGTTTAGACATACAAGGGATTGATCAATGATGCTGACAAGCAATAGAATAGAAGAAATGTAAGATTAACTCTTACTAAGCAACTGCTCACCCTACCAGAGACGAAGCGGCTTTGGCGACAGTCGATGAGAAAAGCTGAGCAAAAGATAGATATATGTACAGCCGGGTCAGCCGAAAGCTGCTTGAAGGATTTAAGGAGTGGGAATGATTGACATGAAGCTAGGCGCCATCATCCAAGGATTTCAGCCTACTGCTGTTACTACGAGTGCTACAAGACAGCAGACGCTTCGAGGATTACAGCCACATTACACGAGCGCCATGTTGGTCCACAGATCGTCAGCTTACTGTAGCGCGTGCAACGACCGTAATGGAAAACGAAACGATTTCTGCAAATTTTACGTCTATTCATATAGGCGCAGTAATGTACCGCGTGCGAGCACCCGTTAGTCTCAGACGTACATACGCTCTCCTTTGTTAGGCTACCATATCATGATCAGGTTCGAGCTCACTGCCGCGCCCGTCGCCAACAGAGAAGGGCAGTACTGCATGCTGTGAAGTGAAACCTAAAAGCTTCAGATGGTTGAAGAGAATCCAGTACAATTAACGAACCATTAGTGGTATAGTTGGCTTGAGCCACTAGTCGCAGCTCGTATTTGCTAAATAAATATACCAGTTAAGTAATGAGCAGGTGCAGGGCAAACGAGAGCTCTGCATTCGGCTCTGCAGCGTCAGGTGCTCAGTTTTAGTTTATCCACTTCGGTTGACACTTTTTTATGTACAGGCACTCGAACTTGAAATTTCGGGTGCTTTGGCCTATGCAATTGTTGTAACGACGTTCTGCCATATAAGATATCAAACATTCGACCGCTGCATTGTAACGTCTTTCAGGATTGACTTGTGGTGTGGCTGCGAAGGGGGCTCTGTTGCTGTTGTTCGATTCCGCGATCTTCGCCCAATGCAACGATGGTCATTGTCGCACACGGTCACCGGCAGTGACGTGGCCGCCATTGAAACAGCTCCGGGTTTGCCTGACGTACGTAGTGCTCTCTACTGGAATCGATTTGTTAACTATTTCACGACACAGTAAAACGTAGTGCAGAACTATGGCTAGAAGAAATGTACCCGAAAATGCTAGGGCACTATATTGGTCACCATAATTAACAACTGGTGATACAAATCAATAACAGCGGTGTCGAGAGCTCAGTTCTTTATTCTAAAGATTAACGAATTCGTCGAAATTTCAAAAAGTGCTCGAAATATCTTTTCGTGCATCTGAAGTGAACGGATTAGGAAAACATATGGGTTTCTTATATGGAATTATGTTTGTCGCGGTTACAGGTGGTCTGGTCGTATACGCGTCCTGGCAGCCTCATCCACCAATGGGATTGCCGAACTCGTCAAAAAAGCCATAAACTTGATTGTTCCAAGTTGATTCCGTGTTCCGAGAGCATTGTCTCGATTGGACTCGAGGAAGATATACGACGTAAGTACTTGTTTAGTATCTTTGCAGGCATAGCTAGCTCAGCGTAACGCAGTAATCTAATTAATACTTAATAGTTATATTCTGCCTGCAATTTGTATGATTCAAATTTGACTGGCAACCACTTTGTATATTTGGTCGAGTTGAATTTGGTCCATGCAAAGAAGCGTACCATTTTCTTCTGAATGGCGCGCTTCTTTGCGCTGAACGTATGGCTACTTAAGTTCACGATCTCAAGCTACGTACCCATGAAGTTAATGAAACGAGCGTTTTGTTACTTTTGAAGGTGAAATCGCAGTGATTCGACACAATTTCAGTGAAAAAACAATCTCTCACTCTTGTTCAAAGTTATTTGTTTTTCTGTATATACTTACAGTACAAACTGAAAGGTCAGATTAGACACGTTAATTTTCGACGTAGGTGACATCTGTCAAATCGAGACTTCGAAAATGGAAAATCCTATTTTTCATTGCTTGTATTCCTTAACGGTGTTTCTATTCCATCGTTGCTTCTGATCCACTGTTTAGCATTCTGCTTCTACTACGCACTAGCGTAACAACGATGGGTGACGACGGAAACTATTATATGTCAGAGATATACGTTTATTAGATCTTCCGAGTTTAGAACAGTTAAAAAATGGAATCGCATGCATATATGGTGCTCCAGCCATCCAAAGCTTAAATAGGAAAAAAGATGTGTGCGTGAAGCCGAAGTCACGTAGTACGGGGAATCTGTATATCATCGCACGACAGAACATTTCCAGTACTCGCCGTAATTAGCGGCACTGCATCGCACAAAATGCCGAGAATGATTCTGGTGTAGTCTGATTTAATTTACGGATTAGACAACACTCGTTTCTCGTATTGTTTGTTGATCTTTGACTTTTACCTTTAAAAAATTCTGCATGTTGTCCAACGAATGTAAGCAACATTGCCGTCCAAAAGACGACTGGGTAAAAATTTGGATTTACACTATTCAACACCATAGATCTGTGAAGGTACCTAACAATGCTATTCAGCCTGGGTAAGCATCGAAGCTCAATCTTTTCCGGGGAATAACATTTCTATTCTATACCATAACTTGTATCATTATTTACAGCCCCATTACTAATAGGACATATTTTTGTCTAGCACGATAAAAATATTTATTAACATATTTTTTGAGGTTATTATCTCACATAAAAGGGTCTCAGTTAAAATGTAACACATGTTACTAGCAGAATTAAAGCGCTTTTACTTGTCACGTACACCTGGATAGCATTCGAAGAATAAAGCTTTTGCCCGCTTCTACCATTTCTCGGTTATGTGCGAGCAGCATCATCGCGTGTGTACAGCGTCTAGAAGGGGACGTCTTTTTCGTCCACAGTAACCACGCCCCTTCAAAGCAAACATTTATGTGAGGCAGCTACTTACTGCAATCATGTCACGCCACACGCTGAAAGAACGGCGCCTTTATGGGACCAAATGATCATAATGATAACCCTGAAGAGTGCTTTTGAGTATGACGGTGCTGTGCTAACTTCTTTCTCATTACCCTTAACGGCTTATTCCATATACAGCCACAGAGTATTTATAATTTGTACATCGCCCGCAGGATTAGCATGAAGTTGCAGGAAAAAAATGCCCAAATCTCCTCGATAGAAATATAGATATTAGAATAGAGAATAATAGTCAACTCGGTGCCTTTGTCTGCACTTTATAAAGGTTCAAATGCAGACGTTTTCCAAGGTTCTGACCTTCTGCCTAGCAAAGGAATTCAACTCAGGAGTACATGTGTCAACAGGACATTGTAAGCCTTAATGTTCCATGCACACATGGACGCTATTGTACCCGCTTTCATAGAGGATCAGCGCAATCCAGCCACTACTTTTTTAACGATAACTCAACTGAGCATTCGTGTGTGCCTATGATGGACAATGCCTACCAAGTTCTCTGAATGCTTATCCACAGTGCCGCGGCCATATCCGACTTCTGAAAGAAGATTTTTCACCGTCGGTATCTACTATGACTTCGTTTGTCCAACTTATCGTTTAAACTAACGTAGCTGAACTAGTTAGCGTTCGGGAGTGCAAGTGCCGTCCGCTAAAGCTGTTCTTCATCACGTTGTTTCCTTACTTCGGATCTCTGACTCTTAGTTTGTAAGCCTTCCGCAATTGCCTCCTGCTGAGCTAAAATTGGTCCACTGCAAGGTTCGAGGAGAGTGAATGTTGGCCGATTGTACTGTAAAATCATCGGTAGTTGCTACGAATGCTGCTGCGTTCAAACTAAGTACGAATCCGTCGAATTAGACTTGAGAAATTTTAGGTAGCCAGGTCTCTAGCAGTCTACTCATGAGGAAGATGGATGGGGAATCAAGCCGCCGTGGGGATCATCAGTCGTCGTAGGTGACTGAAGCAAAACACGCACGAGTTCTATAGCAGAGACACGAACGATTCCATGGGGGATATCTGCGCTCAGATGCGAGAGTCGCTTGCTCACAAGGTCGTGAGGTAGGGTTACGGCCTTTCAGTGTTAATATGATTTGCTACTTTGGACAGGAACAAAACCGCTACGCAGCAGCAACATTTACGTCTAAAACAGTAAAGAGTCCAGCCCTCAGTTGAAGAACGCGTCTGAATAAAAAGCAGCAAGCAGTACAATGGCGTAGTGGCTGACAGGCACAAACTATGCCTGGCTAGATGTGTCAGAAAATATGGCGACGCATTACCCGACCAAATAAGCTTAGTGTTTTATGTAGAGAATGAACGTTGTTTCTTTGTCGTTTTGTTACGAACGTTGGTATATTTATGCACGAAATGATGCCGCTCACTATAAAAGTAGGAATTTAATACCGAACTAATGGGATCGAACCAAGAGAATGTTTGGGTAAACAGATATTGCTTGCAAAAATAGAAAATGTAAAGTATCCCAACAGCTAATTAATCCGGATGAAGTTCAAGAAAGAGGTCGAAAGGTCAAATAATTTCTTCAGTGCAGCTCGCTCTAATATGTCCATTAAATGTTTAATTTGAGGCTAACACATTGATTTCAGAGTTCGTGAATCAAATACTTGACGACGCAGGAATCAATCTTTAGCGTGTTCGTTTATTTTTTTTTTTATAACATGTACTTAATCGGGTTCTCTGTGGTCCTCTAGCGTCGCACTGCCAAGTAACAGCAATCGCGGTACAGTCGCACAGCAGCTCCCCAGGTGATCCCCTGTTGTATGCGGGCACAGCTTGGGGTGTGGTGGTTGTAGCTCGAGCTCGTGGACTTCGACCCATCACCGCATTTCGACCTTTCGAGCAGGAAGTGCGCGTGATCTGTCCATTCACCAACGGGACCATGCTCGCCACACTTGGAACAGGATACAGGTATGAAAACATATCCTCGCCTCAAGTCAAATATCAATGTTTTGCAATAGTTTTCGTGCCTAAAGTTAGTTCTGTCGAGTACCCAGTATAGGACGATTATTTATTTATTCTAAAAAAGTTTTGCCTTGGGCATAGGGCAAAAGATGGATTTTGTTTTCTCTGACCGGTTGTAATCGATTACAAAATCTGTGTTGTGGTTAAACCTGAATCAGACCACAAGGGTATCATTGAGTGATTAAATCATTGCAAAAATGTTCTGTATTACAAGACCTCAAAATCTCCTAGTGCATATAAGTTCATCAAGGATATGCGAGAAGCGAGTAACAGATATAACTGGTAGCGTTTCTCTAGCTGGCTTCGGATTGCACGTTTTTTTTTTCTTAACTCAAATGCTATGGAAAGATCCGAAACAGTTTGGCATTCTCACGAAAAGGCCTCAGCCCAAGTAAATTACGTCTGATGATCTTCACTTAATTATGCGCCCTCCACAAAATGGAATATATTACATGTTCGACTGCACCTGTATGAGGCCTTCTGGAAAAATCATCATTTAAACCTATTAAGAATACTCGCTCTTAATTCTCGTATATGCACATCTGTTACGCCAAAGTGTGTTTTACTCACTGGGCAAACAAGTACAAATGTGCTAAAAATACTCATCGGCAAAGCTTAAGAGGTTTCTGCGCATAAGTAAAATTTCTGGAAAATATACAGCCCGCATACGAGTCTTCGTGGGCCAATTTCGAAATTTTCGATACAGCATGTGGTGACGCAAAGAAACAACGTAATTCAGTCTAGAGTATCTATATGTGGAGTAGGCAGCGCGTTTGCTCTCCATAGACAAATAGTATACTAACGTAAGTTTTAGCGGTAAAAATTTCAAAAGTGTTGAATATAAAAATAAGAACCGAAATTAGCGTAATAGCAAAATGTATGGATTCTCGTTTATCTTCAATTTTCTTTCAACCACTGTGTACGTTCCGATGCATTATAACGACTGATGAGAGACAACTACCGCTAAATTATAAAATATAGCAAGCCGAAATTGGTGTTACGGATAACAGCTTTCTTATCTAAGCGTATGTCGTATTTTATAACAGCAAATACAATAAACAAATTGTGTATAACCGGTGGAACATGGACCGAAGCCTGGCGATTAGGACGGTTGTTATCCGTATGGCCACTGGTTAACGACATAAATACCGTACCAGGCCCCGAATGAGCTGAATCGAAAGAATAGAGATCAATTGATTTGCTGTACGAATGCCGCGATCCATCATAGATAGATGTGTGTATTGTCAATGGTTATCGTCTGCACGATCCGCAACAAATGTTTAACATGGTTTATGATGAACTACTAACACTTAGTGATGATTATTTTAGCGCTCAGTAATTAACAAGAGATTCAGATCTAGTTTCGGGTAAAATAAGAGAATAAGGCATCATGCAGTCTTAAATAAAATAATATGCTTTGCTATGCACATGATAGTTAGCAAAGTATCCTGTACGCAAGAACGTTATTTACTACCAGGGCGTATGTGAAGCAAGATCTCACTAGCTGCTTCTCAAGGTGACGATAAGGACAGGCCTATGTCATGCATACGATAGTCTTCGCGAGCTATCTGCCCAAATCTCAGCCGCTTCCAGAAGTCTTACTGTCCGCTTTCTCATGGCTCCAACGGAGAAATGCGCACCACATTATGGACCTTAACCTTACCCAATATTTATAATACATCAAGCTTGAATGCTCAATAATGAACACTACCAACCAGAATATCAAACGCGTTTATGGTCTCAGCACGTGTTCGTATCATGGTTATCTACAAACTTCTCTGCTAATGTTGCTACTGACTGAATCCGCGACCGCCCAGCTGCTCTAAAGTGGACAGTCTTTTAACGCATTAGCAAGGCTTGCTACAAACACAAGGCTACTTCTTGTGTTGCCTATTTTTGACCTGATGAGATTAGATTAGACCCTGGTGATATCAGACGAACCTAAAAGGCAGCTATAATGAAAGGTGTATCTGTCTGCGAAATTCTGGATGGTCCTATCAAAGCTACACTAGTGGCATACGACTAAATACAGTGGACATTGCCAAATGCATAGTATCCCGTTCAAGGCAAGTTGTGCTGGGCAGCCATCGCGCGAGCATACAAACTCTATTAGTATCTATTTCTAAATGTTGGTCTCGAACATATTTTGAAAAAAACAAGGGAAAAAGCGGACGCTAGCCAGAGGGCAATAGCCGAAATAGCGTACGCTACAAAATATGCCGCCTCACATATTAACTGGATCTACTGTGTCGCAGGGGCGATTGATAGGCGTTCTTGACTCCAATGCTGATTAGTCCCTTCTCATCTTTACGAATATCCAATAGATTTTAGGTAGTATATTGGAGTACCGTGTCTACGGTAATCATGATGTGTATTAGAATAGTTGGCAAAAGTCTCATATTGTGACAAAGGTCGCCGTCGACACGCAACACTGCATGCACCCTAGAATAATGTTACCATGTAAATGAGACAGCATTCGCTGTATACTTTGAAAAAATCTGTCCTTGTTGGCCAGATACAGGGCACATCGTGTAAGGTCGCTAAGTATAATCTGTTAGTTTTAGAGTATTTTATAATAAACAGTTCTGATATAACTTCTGGCGTGTGTTTACATTTTAGAAGCCTAATTCAGCGATACATGTGCGCCGAAGAGAGACACTCGATGATAGATGTGAATTATGTTCTTCTCTGGAATGGAGTAAAATGGGAAGATACCACGGAGGACTAGTGCATGGTCTCTATCGCACGTTCAACGACAACACGTGTTCCCGCCAGGATTTAGTTCATAACGAAACGATACAACTATTTCACCAGCTCAACCGAGCAGTTTTCGGCGGGCGTACTTTGCTTCGTACGGAGATTGAGGCTTCTGGGACATTGACTTGGAATGCTTTTGTGAATAGAGCACGACCCACTTTCATTGTCAAGCAAATCCACGAACATGTCAGCAAAAGGCAGTTGTTTAACCTCGCTGGTCCTGTTGCCAATATTTTTATATGTACCACCTATTCAATTACGTTTGTGGGTAAGCACAAATACTTACTTGTAGGCAACACAAAAGCACTAACGAAGTAAACAATCAATTCCTATACATACATATAGGTAACGATATGTTTTTCATAGATATTTCATAGGTATAGCTCTTGAACATTTCTCGTAGTACACGTATGTTAATTTCCACATGAATCAGCTGAGACCTGCGGTTTCACTAATCCTATAATGGAAACAGCTAACACTACTATAACCAACAGGTTGACAGAATTATGCTATCTCTATGAGAAAAAGCTTGTATCGCACAGATTGAAGAATTGTCAATCGTGCAGATTCAATGAAAAGGATACCGAAGACAGACTTGTCCGCTTTTGTATCGAGTGAAATGTTACTATTATTATTACTAGATATGCCACTCAGGACCGCCTGCATGGGCTCTTTTCCTTTAAATACTACTAAGAAATCTGCCCTTTGCAGAAAGCGGAATAAGAAAGCAAACTTCTATGCGGTGAGAAAACTTTATTAACCTGATTTGTGTAGAACAATGGATGCCTATTGTCGCTCTTAAGAATACTTTTTTTTACTTGACAATTTCTCTTCTGCTAAGCAGATGTATTTCCTCATCTTTGTGTTAGAAGATGCTAATGCCGTTGCAATATTGTTTCATTGTTTTTTTGATCGCCCCTCAACAGTTAAGTTGTCCAAAAGTAAAAAATTTCCAGTGGATATTTACTTAAGGTTGAGTAATTCGATTGAACATTTTCAGCGGCGAAACGAAATATTTAGAAGTGATGATGGTGAATTGAGTTGAAAATTTGGTGCTATGATGAAGAAATTTGCTAACAGGCTGGCGAGTACCGTGACAATTGGTAGGCTTTGAAACCAAAATGTAAGAATCATTATCGTAAAGAACAATTCTCATATTTATATCACAAAATATTATCTTTATAAAACTAAAATGCCACGTTTATTAATAACTGAAACATTTTTTACCCATTATTCTAACTGTTTCCAAGCTGTTTCTAATAACTGCTCGTTATAGTAGGGCGAAACATTGGACAGTATACATGCTTATCGTAAGTGTTTACCGAAGATGTCGCGCCAGCTTTAAGATGACCGCCAACATTTTTCGTCTGCTGCTGCTGCTGCTGCTTTACAAACAAATTGTTTAGCAACGACGCAATACAAGGGTCACTTTTGTAGTTATTACAGATGACTAGAATACCGGTGATGACTTGCACACACGCAGCTCGTGTAATAGGAGCAAATGGTAAAGGTGTGATTGCTCAATGTTCGATATTGACCCGCTGTTTGGCTTAACTCTATTTATTTATTTCTTTCACAAAGAGGACTTTTGTTTAGTCGTTGGTTTCCTCGTGCAGAAGAGCCTGCCCATTCGGTACGATTTCCCTGATCCTAGTTCTAAACTATGACTACCTACTATGAACATTTTATGTTCAACGGAATGCATTGTACGTTTAATGAGAAAATGAACGATGAAAAACAAAGCAGATTTTGTTCAGTAGTGTAAGTTGACAATTATGTATTTTGCTGTGATATTAAATGTTGTCAAAAGTGCATAATAAATATTCGAATCTTCTCGGCAACAATGAAGTTTCTTCCAAACCTATTACAGTTAGCTCGTCGGAACTTAAAGATGGCTCGTTTCACTATTAAATTATAATGGTTAACGATTAATGCAATTTCGATGTTGTTATTAGGTTTATGACCATTTATATAATGTGTAGCATAATGCAAGTGTAGTAATAGTTGTAAAGAAAGCTTACAAACGGCCCTCGACGCAGCCAACTGGCTACTGAAGATCAAGCGACGATTCTGATTATGTGTGAGCCTTACGGCCATACATTTTTGTCAATGAGACAAAATTTTTACTCATACTGTTCTATTGCTCGTTGAGTTTTCAGAGGACCAAATGAAAAAACAATGCGGTCCGGCATCAAGCATTTCTAATTTTTGCCGTTTTTATGTTGATATACGATGATGCTATTACAGTAGTGTAACAATATAGGAAGAAAAACTTTTGCACTCGGTCTGCAGTGGGAAGTCGGAAAAGTTCTTTTCCAGATGATATGACAACTTTTACCTTCTTGCACACTGAAAGCTTACTATCTAAAACGCTGTTACCGATTATTAGACCAAATGAAACCGTTAAATCTGAAAATTACGATAAAGACATTTTCTGAATTGTTTCGTAGAGGACGTTTACCATTAGCGTTCCGTGATGAAACTGTTTTGAATGAAGGTTTTTTGATTTATCCAGAAAAGAGACTGTGGCACCTCGCAGCGGAATCTGGAAGAACGTTTCGGAGAGCCATACGATGCTCCCGTCGCAATATCTCCGTTCTGAAGCTGCAATGCACGCTGCCAAGCGTCATCCTGCGAATGTCCTGGATTTGATTTATTTCGCGTTGTTGTGGGCGATTTTATTCTGGGAACATTCGACGATCTCAAGGTGGACCAGTTAAATGGTAGCATTCTGCCCGACAAACGAAAGATCGGCGGAAAACCCGTTTACGTTCCGACTGCTTATCAACCGGATGTCTTCGGGAGGGGATGGAGCATCCTTGTCCGAGTTGGACACCCTAGTCTAAAGAATTTTTTTAGTAACAAGGACAGATCTCGATTCTAATGCATAATTAATGCACAACTTATGATACGTGATACAGGGTCATCATCTTTAGATTGCGACCCACCTTTTTGCATCACATAATCCATTGAATGGAAGGGCCGTGGGAAACGATAAACATCGACACCTATGATGGGCGTTATTTACCTTCTTTCATTGTTCAGCAAAATGATAGTATTGTGTTTGGTTACAAGAATTTAAACCGGCAACGAAAACACAAAGATGGCAGAAATTATAGTCCGGCTTTCGTATGGCCAGATTTTGCGTAGCAAAGGGAGACTCTCATATAAGTTTAAGAAGCTTGAAAATCTTGGAGAAGAGCTACAATCATATCAGATACAGGGCATGACAGATTGTACAGAAACAAAGGCACAATGCACGTAAGTGTTGTCTTATTTCAGGATCTATCTATTAAAGGTAAGTAAGGTGGGCATGTAGTACTTCATCATCTCCGTGGCAAGTGGAAATTAGAGGGCGATCTCCTGGTCTCTGCATATTGTAGTACTGATACACTATTGTCGATGTAAAAATCTTTTTGTACTTGAAAGGAATTTCTTTTTAGAAGCTGATGTCGTACACCAAATTTGGGTAAGCCGGATCTGAATATTCTTATAATATTTTTTTTTGGAAATCTTTTTATGGAGAAAGTATTTCCGCAGTTATAACGTGTAGATAGGAGTGGTACCGACAATTCTGGAGGGGTGCACACTGGATATTGCGTAGCAACGAGGCTAAACGCGCGCACCTCAAAATGTATTATCTAAAAGAGCTCCGGCTCAGTAGTAAGTTTTGTGACATTCTGAACCGAACGTTAATTAGATTTCTAGAATCTCATATTCTAGAAATGTTTACATGATCCGTGTTTATCAAACAGTAAACTTAGTGTTAGACAGCCTTTAAGTTGTCTCTGATCCAAAGTAGTAGTTAACTATATTAGCTAGGAAATACGTACGAACCCGTCAAAATTTAATTGTCCTAAAGAAAAATATACTAAAAATGCATTTCGCGCAACATTCCATGCAACAGATATTCGTCTCGAGCAGTCCACAGATTAGCAAAGGATGTCAGAGTCTGTAATAGACTTATTATTCTTGATGCGCAGTGTCAAATCTGGAGAGTCAAGTTGCTAATACTTGATCTGAAACTGTGAACGTTACCCAATTCGAATGAATGAACTTTTTGCAAATTCGAACCCTACGTAGTACAAATCACTCGGGGTTCGTCAAGCCTGACCGACGCGAGCCCATAATAGGAAATTGATGCAACTAATACTTCACATACGCAACTACTACAAGCATCATATCGTCGATTATACTGAGGAGAACGTAGGTCGCATCATTAGAATTCGCTGCATCACGTATCGGTGTTGTTTCTCGGTATTGGTGCAGTTGTCATTCATGCCTCCGATGACCGCCCTGGGTCCGCCCTGACGCATAGATACACTTGTAACCGCAGGCAGCCGAAGCAGGCGCTACTCAAGCATGTATACAGAAACAAATACCTATTGTCGGCTTCATAGTGGTTGGGGGCGCGTGCAATAGAATACACCCTTTGATAAATTTCGCCGACATCATTTTTTTGTAAGTTTCCTTTCACGTTACAGTAACTTTCTTTGTGGCATTGTTTTTGTTGAAATATAAAAGTTAGTGTACATAAAACATCTTTCAACATCTGCCACACAGTCTCCTTTTCTTCAGGTTTTTTTTTCATTTTGACACCACGACCACTTGCCAGTTGTGTTTCATTATCGAACGGTCCTTCGAATATGATAAGTACCCTTCTCACATAAACAGGACCTACGTTTTGCTTTTCGAATGATTTTGTTTTTATACAACTTCCATTACACTCCATGTTTCTTTTTTCCTATTCTTGCTATCTACACCCACCTGAGACATTCGCGAACTCATTCTGTCTTCTGCTGTCTCATTTTAGGTTAGTTCCATACATTGTTGTTTATCCCGTTGTTTCATCAGACCTGTCCGGCACAACGGACGGCTGCTGTTACGGCCACGCCGTGTCTGTTATGGTGATGGCGAACGCCTGTTGCCTACCTAACTGTCTGCCTGGAGCGGTGCCCTGCGTGTCTTTTTCATACGAAGCTGTCCCGATGGTGGCGCCGCCTGGTTGTGGGTTTTCCGTCCACATGCTTGCTGCCCGCCAGTCGTGTTTCAGCTTCGGTCGAGGGAACGTCTCTGGACGAGGGGCCACCGGCGGCTCGTGCAACGTGCCCAAGACTCGTTGTTTCGACCCATCCAACGTCATATTGCCAAGCGCGCGTGCTCAACGAGCGACTTGTGGCCTTCGTGTGTTTGCGTGTGCGTGTGTCTGTGTGTCGCTGTTGCCTTCCCTTGTTAGGGGGGGGGGGGGGTAATAGCACAAAAGAAAGAACGTTATGTAACGACGACGACTACGTCAATAAGCGCAGTGTTGCCTATCATCCATTACGAGTTAACAGTGATCTTAGTTCGGTTAGGTTTACTTTGTACTGAACCGTATTCTAATATTGTTTGTGTTTGATAACGACGAAAAAGTTCAACAAAGAAGACAACCAGACTCTGTGTTTTTGTGGCCGAGTTTGTTATTTTCATTGTGTTAGTCGAAGTAACAATGTGATGACGACGATGCGATATCAGTGAATTTCGGTGAGACTTTTTCGTGCTACAGTTTGGGCCCTGTTCGTCAAACATTACATGGTTCTGTTAATGACGCCTGGCCGAAAACAACGAGGCATAAAGCTTAGTCAAAGATTTAATCATTAGAGTGACTTTAATCGTGTATATGAGAAAAGCAATAATAGGAAACAGCAGAAGATATTATAGCTCGCGGCGCCGGCCTCCCCCTTGTGGTCGGGCAGACTAGGGCAGCTGTCGAATTTTTGATGACGTTAGGAATACTTGTGACCTCAGCGCGTAATCTTAAAGTACAATATCAATAAAGGAAAACTTATTGTCTGGATGATCATGTGTAATCGCATATATCAACATGTCGACATCCACACGCCATAAGCAAATTAACCGACCACTGGCGGCATAAAGCACTTGCAAGCGGGTATTTCAGTTACCCACTAAGTGGACAAATTAACACCACCCCTTACGTGACCAAGCGATAGATACGTGGTCTCTATGAAGTCCTTCATTTAGAAGTAACCTGCCTGTGTAAACATCGTAGCTGTAATTACAATAATTGTCTGAGAATTTTCTGTGTTGAATATAGCTATTCTTTTCATATTCAAATCAATAATTGATTGACAAATGGACGAAAATGACAATGGTTGACCCTCGACGACAGTCGTATGTGGTTTGGTGCGAAATTCGCCGACACCTTTAACCGTGCTGTTACAACAGCAGGCGACATCAATGATACGGCCGCTGGGCTGCGCAGGTGATAACGCAGAAAGATATTGGATGGCCTATAGCGTATAGCCGTAGTAACCAGAGTCTCAAAAGGTAGCCTGCTGAGACCCGTAAATGTGTCATTTGACGTATATATACACATATGCATACAGCTAGCAGCAGTATGTACAAATGAAGGGAAAACAAACTATCGCATATCCATAATTACCGATAACAAGCCCAACAAGCTTGTAGAGGATTAGTCGGTCGGGTTTCAGTGTGGCCAGTGAGTGCACACCATGCAAATTACTTACGGCTCGTACATCACCATCTTACGCGATCTCTCGTCGTTACCCGTCACGCCGTTGATGCTATCGTCATCTGCGGTACCATCCGCGCCGCCGAAACTTTCGCCGCACGATACTGTGTGTCGCCGTGCTGACCGACGCTTTGACCACGTCGACTTCAATAGCCTTTACCCTTTATGTCACTGTTGCTCTAATACCAAGCGTTTCGCCTTGAAACTCAACGACAGAGAAATCAGTACTGTAAATAATTGTCCCTTGACGCCACCTCTTAGAACTGAATCAATAACATTAACAACAGCTATCTCTTGCAAGCGCCTTTCTTCTAATTGTCAACACCGGCAGAGTGAGAAAAAGTCGCCAAACAGTTTAGCTAACAGCGATCTGGCACGTTCTCTCCTCATGTTGCTTGTACATCCGCGACAACAGCAACAACTGATCTTCTTGCACGCCCAGCTATTTCTGTTGCGGTTCGGATTATTGATGACACAGAGACGTTCGTCGGCGTATCCAACAAACAACGAATAACGCTGTTAGCGTCGTTTGGATACTGCTGCAGCTGTGAGAACGACGAGAAAGAAAAAGCCCCAGCAACTGCGATCGGTTTGCTCGCAAGGGTGTTCGCAACAGCGGTAACTATTTCTACGTAATACGCAACAAAAAGACATACGACACGAAAGAAACGCAATAGCGATAAAAAGAAGCAAGCAGGAGTTATCATCTTACCATCTGGTTCCTGTTCGATAGAAAAAGACAGAGAAAGTGAGGAGACAGACAACCCTTGACGACAGAAGTAACCGGTGCCTCGGTAGCCAAAACAACGTTGGTCAGCGTCGATAGCACCGTGATCGACATCATACACCACAGGTCTCAGCGTTCAGGTAGGATCTATCAGGTGGTTATTGAATTTCAGGACAACGGTCGGGGGTATCGCTGGTGCCTCGTGATTGCGATAACCCCAGCATGTTGTTGATACCAGGAAATAATGGAAAATGGCAGGGACTCGAGTACGTACTGCCGAGAAAGAGGGGTGTGGGAGGCTGGTATGGTTATTGCCTTTTGTTTCTGTGATACTGAATAAGATGCCTTTCATCCATATTTTATTTAGGATATTTTACCATCATTTGTAAAGCATATAACAAGAAACAGCAGATGATATACAAATCGTCACTACAAACGATGCTGCAAATATTATAATGCGGAGCGCAAGGTAACTCGATTTATTTAAGCTTCGTCTTTTTGCGAACTTCCGCGAATAGAAGCTTTATCCGCTGGGTAAATTGCATTTGAACAGTAAACACGCAACTATTTTTCGTTGATGGCAAAAGGTTCATCGTCAAGCAATGTCATCAATTTTTCTACAAAACTAGAACAAATTTGCGTTGATAAACCAGGACTCAACGAACATGAACGAGTATCTACATCAAGAGGTAATTACGCATATTTCGTTTAATCAACATAGTTAATAAAGCGTAAACAAACGTAAACCTTTTAAATATGTCGTATTATAGAATAATATATAATCAAGATAAATCCGTTCATCAGCGATACGTTTCTCAGAAACATACACATAACGTACTCGATCACAACAAACAACATTCAGCCGCTGTGTAGATTTTCAGTAGATGTTTTGTGCTGCGGCCTGTCTGTCTCGTATATTTACTTACACAGCTATACTCACACAGTGCACAGGGAATATACAGGAGTTGGCGAGATAATTTTCGCAATTCGATGCAGCTCAAAGAACAGCACATGACAATAGTAAACATAATGTCTACATATATAATAGCAGTAACAGAAGCAAGCGTCAAAGTAACGAAAACCTCCTTTTAAGGAAAGTAGCCTCACCATAAGAAGCAGAAACAAAGCGCATGTTATACATGCGTAAACAAACAAACAAACAAACAAAAAGAGGCGCGCAAACATTCACAATGAGACGCTTGGGAGACGGGTTTTGGAACATAAACTTGGCTATCATCTGGTCGGCCGTCGGTTCCTTATTTCCATAAAACCTTCCTTTGCACCTGTGGTTCAGCATCTTCTATTGTTCATCGCGGCTTAACAATCGCTCTTCACACACGCTAGCGTATGTTGATGTGATAGCAGTAGTGCCTTTAAATACTTCATGAATGTTGGGCGGGGATAAAATTTCCAGGAAGACGAGATTAGAGCCGGTTAGAGTAGAGGCACGTGAGTTACTATTTCTCTACTGCCGTTCGCGCACACTCCCGGAAACTGCACATAAATTGAACGATCGTCTGCTTGAATCAGAGACGAAATGTTCGACTAGTATTTAGAAAATCAGTAATGTCAGGTAGCTTTTCGCACCAAATTTTCGAAATGCTGTAGCAGACCTGCATATTGATATAGCTTGTGGCAACACTTCAAAATATTTGTTTGGGTTGCGAATAGAATAATCAAGCCTGTATACTTCTGCCTAACTGTTCGTGTAAATGTAGCGCGAAGATTTTCCATAGGTTAGAAGTTTACGTGTATTTGGTCAGAAAGCAAGCTGAGCAGAAAATTCTATCCCTGGTTACGATGAAGGAGACCTCCGACACACGTGTTGCAATGCGTGTTGTGTGTCACGGAAAGCAATCTGATTCCATTAAATTCCGTCACTCAAGTTATTCCTATGATGACTGGCTTTATCCACTTTCGTTTTTCAATGTGTACACTCGGTGAGCGTTTGCATATTTAGTCGTCTGCTTCGACTTTGTCCATCTATAAGGACTTTCGCCAGTTTTCAAGTGATATATCTTTTCCTGAGTTCTTTGATACCACCCCCAGCCGGTTCATCGGAATCGACAGTTATTTTTTCACACTACCGTTGTCGCTTGCTCACACGCTGATTATCCTCACGTCAAAGCATTTCCAAAGTCAGACATCCCGCTTCGGAACTTTTTCTTTGTTTGCTTTTTACCAAATTCCGCCCATTCCGCCATCTAGCACACAAGCAGGCGAACATAATACCGCTGACATGCACCACGCCGCACTGCCCCTTTACGAATCCATGAGCTTAGTTCGGGTTTTGCAAATCTGGAAATTTAGCGATGTGAACAGACAACAATACTACGTTGCAACCACTTGCGATACGAAACGAACCTAGTTGCCGGCCAGTCAAAGAGTTAGTGCTTGCGAAACTTTGCTCTGCGCTCAGTGCAAGACAGACTTGGCCTTCGGTGAGTGTAGGGCCAGATCTCTGCGTTGCTTTCGTCCCTTCTATCTTTCTTCGCCGTCCCTTTTTGTCGGTCTCTCTTCATGTTGATGGCGTGGCTGGCCTGATGCGACGCCCTTGCGGCCACCACTGCGGCCATCGTTTCTGTACTCGCTTGCTGGCACTGTTGTCTCACTATTGTATTCCCTTTTGTCCCGTTCCTCCACTCGGCCGTCATCATCCGCACGCGATTAGTCACCGCTAGCTTCGGGTTCTGCGTTGGGCCTGCTAGCCTGCTGCTCCTATCGTAGCCTAGTTGCTATGGCTGGAGAAGGGAATTTCTCAGCTGCTGCAGCGGACGGGAAAACGGCAAGCGTCCGATAACGGCGATAAACTGTCTGTTTGAGCTTGAAGATCGGAGCGGACCTCGAAACTCGGGAAACCCGCTATAGTCTCTTCTGTGTTCTATATCCCGAGCAATGAGTCGCTGAACACTCGCTAGACATCGCTGACAATGAGCAAAGGAGGCGGCAAGATCGGGAAGCCCTTGGACTGAGCGTTCTGCAATGCGATGCTCGTAAGGACTTGTAGACAGGCTGGTTACAATTTTTCGAGCGGCTACTGAAACCCATCAATAAAGAGCAAAATTGCACCAAGATAAAGATGTAACAGAAAACAGCGCCAGGGGTTCAGTAGTGATTGTCCTAAAAAGTACACCTACAATAATCAAGAAGTATTATTTGAGAATAGGCTATCTATTATTTGCTTGTACTTTGCCGCAGTAGCTGCGCAAACAAACGTGAACAAGCGTCGATCGGCTAACACCCATAAATGTTATAAGCATAGAAGAACATCATAACATTGGATATTTTCTTTCGAATAATTTTTCTCTATGTATAAGTTCTCTGTGCAGCAAAATCAGTGGTTTTCCCCTGCTGGCGCTTGCATGGACCCGCCATCGTGATCGGATCTCCTATGCCAATGGAGGCGTGTGCCTTGTTTTGTTCTCCACTGAAAGATTTAGCCGTTTTGCATTAACTGATTAGTTGAATTCGTTTCGTTGACACTAATAGTTGACTTATGTCAGCCTCCCCTTCCGTTCGATATTACTATAACCGCCTGACATTGGTAGCGGCGATATCTTGCAACCCATAGAACCTTCTTTATCCGTCACCTCAGTTCTGTCGTTATGCTTTACTGACAGAACAAGTAGGATTCAGCGGCCTTACTACTATGGCAGCCGCAGGTGGTTCAGCTTGCTCGAGCGCAGCTAGCATCAAATAGTAGTCGCTCGACTCCCTAGTGAATGCTGACTGCCTGATTTCGAATGAGCCCAACGGTGTGCATTATGTTGTAGGCTGGCGTCGCCTGTCGTACAAAAACAAACGAACAGACAAGGGACGGCAACAACGGCATCTGTGCTACATCTGTGAAACAGGCCTTATGCCTTTCTGCCGAGAGGTGAAGAGCAGTACAATCGTATAGAATATGCGTTTTGCCGTGGTGACCGTATCCTTTCAATGGCAATAACCTTTTGTATTGTGAGTGCGGTATGAGTCTGTATACCAGTATGTGCGTGTTGATGTGAGCGCGCGGTGCGGACGAGAGTTGTGTGTACTGTTGAGAAAAGCAAATTAGTGACGCTAAAATGAAAACGGCGTTATCGCGTTGCGACGATGGCAAGAAGGCAGAGAATCATACTAACAGAGGCGCTGGCGACGGCATGGCGATTCTGGGGGTCATGCATTAAAGATGGCGTCGCTACTAAGCCAGTCGTGTCGTTCGCGGTAGCAGCAGGAGCAATAGCAACGAATGATTGCAAGCAGCACGCGGTAGCAAGATCCGAACAGGCTGTCTGCTGTTGTTTATTCCTTTCCAACAGCCACCTCTCTCAACAAACTGCCTACTTTTCCAGCAGCCCAGTTCCTTCCCCTCTGTGCCTCTCCTTTCTTCCTTGCTGTTCTAAAACTTTCTGAAGCGGCTCAGGTACTCAGCAATGCCTCTTTCCTATTGCCATAGCTAACCTTCTTAGGCCCTTCCTTTCCACCGTATTCCGTATACTTTACAGTCACTACACGCTACCTCAGCGCATGACGCAGTATCAACCGCAATCGTAATAAGCCTGATTGCACTCTAACTCTTTGGTAACCATTGATTCCTGCCGTTTGCCGTTTTAGATGGCTGCACTTCCTGTTGCAGCGACTCCAGTCAAGTTGTGCGCCCTAGCAAAGGCCGCCCATACTACCGCCCCATTATGTCATTGTCACGTACCATTTGACCAGGCCCGCCCAGTGAATGTTACATCTACGCAAGAAGGTCAGCCAGAAAGGCTGCCAGAAGCGGGAAGGGAACTGAAAAACGGTAAAAAGCTGGCGATAGAGAAGATGACGCGATCAAAGGGAAAAGCCCTTCCGGTAACGTGTGCCTCACTATTAGCTACAATTTCAAGCGTAACACCGCTTAGACACGTGTTCTCTGATGCTAGAAGCAGTGGTAGCAGTAACAGTAGGTCGAAGCTGGCGCGTAGAGTTGTCAGTTGGGACAACTTGTAATCCCAAGAAATGTGCCTCGGCGGGATTTGAGATTGCTGTCACCTCTGACAGTTCATTCCTCTCAGAACATAGCTGCAAAGCTAAACCCTTCACTTTAGCAACCCATACTCCCAGACTACATTCCGTTCCTGTCAGGTTTACAGCGACAAAGTGGCAATCGAAAACTGCTATTTCAACTTTGGCCTTTTATAGTCAGCATATTGCTATTGCAAATGGTGGCGGGTATTTCAGTGGTCGGAGTTGGCACACAATAATAGCATCGCAGCCAGCCATTGCAATTGTCAGTGCTGCGACTGTGGTTGCTTCATTCCCGCGATTGCATTCTCCCATCGTGATGCTATCTAGACTACACGCAGCTATTCGAAGCACAGACCGAGGCAATCTCATAAAGAAGGAGAAGAATAAAGAAAAGTAATGAAACAACTCCTGCTGCGGCGTATAGGTAGTGGTGAGAAGTTTCTGTTGAATAGAAAAGAGAGGAAGCTAATGAGAAGGCGAATGCTTTCAGGCGTCGTTTGGCTTCGCCATTGGCCCAGTGGTCAGCGCCTCTGTGTTTCTACCACAAGACAACAAGAGTCGGCGAACATAACTGACATCATCCTATGTTCCATGTCATTTTGTCTAATAATGGCAAACACTTGGGTCTGTACTTCGCCGCTACCACACACACATAATACGCGCCGACCCTTTTCGGCTTTCACGCCCCACCAAATCCGCGTTT